GCAGATTGGCACGCAGATTGGCACGCAGATAGGCCCTCAGATAGGGCCCTATTCTCAAGGCACACAGGCCTATTGGGCGTCAAATCAGGCAGGTTTTTATGCCTCCTGAAGGGTCAACCACGAACTAGTTTACTAGGAAAACGCTAATAAACTAGCTCCTTGGCTCCCAGGAACTTTGGAAAGATTACATCTATAATACTGAAATAAACAGGTCAGGAATGTGACGCTGTATTTATGAAATCTATTTTCACAACACTGGCTATGGGACTCACAATGAATCGGCGCCTATGTATAGCGACAAGAACATCACTAACTATAATGCATTGTCATGGTCGTATCAGGTCTGCAAAGAGTGGGGTTATATTCAAGACGGATCCAATGTTCCCGACGACCGACTTCCTCTCATCTCTCGTCTGCTGACCATCAGCTATCTGACGCAAGTATGCCGATATGCCTTTAACATTACCACGCCGCCGAATGTCAACGCGGTCAATAAATACGGCGGTTTTAACATCTCGTACCCGAGACTGGCGACTATCGGAGGTCAGGCCGACCCCTGGCGGCCCGCTACAGCATTAGCGACATTGTCTGAGCCTGATGTTCTTAACCAAACGAGTACGCCAAGCGAGCCTGTCATTTTGATTCAAGGAGCAGTGCATCACTGGGATGAAAACGGCTTGGTGAGTCTTTCCCCAAACGATGCCGACCGACATTGTCGGATTAGTGCTCTTTCCATTGACATGACGCTGACTTTCTGGATCTTGCAGTTTCCAAATGAGACCACACCAAACCTGCCCCCAGCTCCAGTCGCCAACGCACAAAGGCAAATCGTAGAAGCGGCCCAAGGTTGGATGGTAGAGTGGAAGGCAGCCCGCCTCTAAGTACTCGGTACTCCGCAGGATCTGCACGCTGGTCACTTTAGGCGTCGGTGGATGAGAGTGGGTGGGGAGTGCGAGATGTCAGAGTCCCAAAGCCTGGTCCGTGGTAGGGTTTGCTCTCCTCTCTGGCGAGATGAAAGGGAAGTGTAAACTCAAGTCAATTGCAAGGAGTTGGAGCTTTTCACAAATACCTGGAGAGTTTTCAGTACAGAGGCGGCTTTTGTACTCCGTACAAGGAGCTTCCACACGGTCCCCTTACTCCGTGTCGCCGCTTCAGTGATCGACGGGCCTCATATGACGCCGGGAACTTCAGGGTAAGACAGAGTATTTATATACGGAGTAGTGGACGCACCAGTCCGAACAAGCGAGACTGACAGAGCAGATCAGCGGTGTAGTCATCTCCCATCTCCACCACGGGCTGCCTGGCCGATCGAAGGTACCAACTCGGGATACCCGGACTTTGTATGCGCCGTGCTCATAGACCAAATCCGACGGACGTAGTGGTGGTCTGTACGTGCTCAAGGTCTGGATCTAATTTACCGGGACAGCATAGTCGAAGTGAGAATGATGTTGAGATGGTGCTAGACCCGTAGGTGGGAAGCAGGTGCCATACTACGAGGTATTTGAGGCATGAAAAGGGGTCGAGTGCTTGACAGTTCAAATGACATCATGGGTCCGTCTACCCACACGTCAAATTCACCGCCATGACTTTCAAATGACAACTGCGCCTGCGCGCAAAGAGAGCCACTCACTACACCCATCGACTTCTCTCGCCCACCTGCAGCTATCTTCATCGCTGACGCATCTTTCCCTGCAAAGCGTTCGGCACGCACAGCGCCAGTCACTTGTTCAACCACGAGCCCGAAAGAGACAAATTAAGATTTGCTACCTCCCTCGAAGGCCGAGCTCCCAGCACGTCTGGCCTCGCGAGATCCTCGTATTCGAAAGGGGCTGGACCCCGGCAGCGTGGCGTTTGAGACTGCAGCCAACCACGACAACAAGCTCTGCCACTGTCAGACGTGGTCGAGACAAGCTGCGAGGGCACGTGTTTGAGCTTGGATCCCACAGTTTTCTCCTCCGTCCGTTTTCTGCACGAAACCCGTGCCGTGGGCCATGGCCTTGATGCGTGAGAGTGGACCAAGCTGGCTGCTGGTGGACAGTCCTTTGGCGCCCATTCCCGCCTTTGGTTGGGCACTGCTCAAGCCTCGTCACATTCACCATCACCTGGACGAATCTGTTCACGCCTCTACTTTAGCCTGGAGCCCTAGGGACCTGTTGGGCCACTGTGCCAGCGCAACCGAGGTCAGGCGTGGGTGTCTGGTACCTGGCGCTTTCCCCGGAATGGCGCGGTCGGTGTACGTACAAGGACTAAATCCATCTCGATTGACTGTTGACGTTTTTTTCTCCTCGCTAGCAGAAGGGCCCGATCACTGGGCGGATGCCGCCATCCACTCTCCACATTCTCAATTGGCCGGTCGGTATCAAGACGCCAGAACATCAATATATCATCTGCCTGGATGTGATGCCGGCGCCTGGAAACTTCAGGAAAAAGAAAACATCAAAGATGCTAGCTACAAAGGCCCTTGACTCTGGTGCCAATTCGGCAGGTCTCCGTGGTTTGCTGACGCTAGGTCAGCCAAAGAGTCCACCTTGTCGTTGCGGTGTGTGCCGGCGATGAAACGTTGGTCCTCCACCAGACTTCCCGTCTACTCCACTTCCCCTCGAACTTGCAGCAACCTCTGACACTCTTCATCAAAACCCCGAGGGTTGAGGCCCTTCCTCAGCCTGGCTCGTGCTGGCCGGCGGGCTCACATCCAGGCTTCCTGCAATCTCACTCTCGCTTGGAGAACCTGATCGTCACTCTTCCTTTTTCTCCGGCTTTCTCGTCTGCGAGATAGAGTTGTCTCTTATCCTCAATCAGGTATCATCCAACTCTCTTTACTGGGTCGGGCATTTTGGTTTTCTCGTCAAAATCCTGGTCGACCACTCTCATTTTTAGCCTGGGTGGTCCTTCGTGGCGTGCACTTGTCCTTTCTGTTCGCTTGAGCCAACAAGGCGGGCAAGGCTTGAAAGCCTGCGCTGTCCTGTGTCATGGCCCGATCTGTCTGTCCGGGTTGGCCCCGTTCCATTTGAAAACCCTGTCGCAGCCTCAACGCCGTCAAACGGATCCTGCTACTTTTAGAGTTCCAGGTGACAGCTGCCTCCAGCAGCCAGACCCTCTCAGGAATTTCGCCAGACTTCTCCAGATTTTGCTACCCGTTGTTCCACGCATGACTTCCCGCAACAGTTCTTTACCGCCGCCCTCCGACCTCGATACGCCCTCTACCAGTCTCACCACCTCAGACGCCATGGACCAGGTCCTCAAAGCCCGAAAGATGAGCTCGGCCTCTGCTCGGAGGAAAAAGTTCCAAGAACGACAGCAGCAGCAGGCCATGGACCGGGAGAAGCTCGCAGAACACAAGAGGAGGATTTTGATGTATGATCATATGGCAGAGCATGCATCGGAGCCCGCGGATGGGCCTGGCAGCGAGAGCTCTGCGGACGACGTCGACATGGACGCTGGGCGCTTTGATCGGGAGTCGTCTGTGGAGACGCCGTCGGAGAGAAGCATTCTGACACCAGATGAAATGGCTCAGAACAGAGCTACCTTTGGCAAGCAAACCTCACCTGGACCAGATCGGGTTGCGGGTCTCAAAATACAGATACCGGATGAAGAAGAGGTCCTCGAACGGATGGACATAGACGAGGTCCGTGTCGTCGTGCCACCTTCTCCGAAGCCTGTCCTTCAAGCTTCTCTGGCTTCCTGGTCCGACTTCAGATACGACCGCTATTCCGTAGTGCTCGACTCTCCACTCTCCGAGGCTCTAAGTCCTGAACTTGACAATGAGGAAACATTCTCCCCCATCGAAACAGCGACACCGATATCCTATCAACAACCAAAATCCCGCCCTTCACTAATATCTATTGCCAGCCTCTCCCACCGAGGCAAACGAAGGACGGCCTCCATGCAGAGTCCTCTGTCGCAAACTGTGCCGCAAACGCCGGAACGACCATCAAAACGTCAGTCGATGACCAGTGTACATTCAGGATTCCCTGCCTCAGAGGCTACGCTGTTCGAGGTCCCAAGCTTACCCGAGAATGCTTTCGAGCTCATCGCCAATGCCAGTCAAGAATCGCTTCCCTTGTCTATGAAGGAGCCAACCAGGTCCAAAGCCGAGAGGAAATCAAGTATGCCGCGATTGTCGACTGCGCTAAGCCACGCGCGCATGAGCAGCATCAAGAGCTTCATCAAGACCCCCACAACTGCAACTACGCCGGTGCCACAAACACGATCATCCTCTCGGCCCTCAAGTCATGTGAGCAGACCTTCAACTGCAAGCACACTGGCCGCAGACCCTTATTTTATGATGAAAAACCCGGCCGCGTCGACGAGTTCAAGTAACCTTTCCTCGATCACACGCCCGCTCACATCCCAGAATGCTTCAGCTTCAATGGTGGGACCCATCAGCTCCAACATGACGGCATTACCATCCCTCCCGACTCCCCCGGCAGATGAAGACGCTTCAGACCCATTGGCAACGAGACCAGCCATGCAGAGAAAGAAATCCTTTTCCGCGCTCCGGAGACGAAGCGAGAGTATTGGACAAGCCATCAAAGGATTGGGCAAGATCACGACGAAACACGATGTTCCAGTACCGACGAATCCAGGTCTGATGACTCCGAAGAAACCTCAGGCATTTGATTTATCTCAATTCCCCACCCCACCTTTGCCTTCTCCTCGGACTGGGAAAAGTAGTGCAGGCTCATTTACTTCGACCAGGGCAACGAGTAGTGGAGGCCATATAGGACTAGGCCTACGGAGCGTGGAGTGATTTGCACAAAGGTGACAGGATTGGCCTGTCTTGGAACAGAGATCCGGTGTTCAGCAATTCCAGGAGCGAGAGCAACTGTACTCTTTGATGAAGTTATGATTTGAGTCTTATTAGCGATATTGTATAAAAGTGTAGTGGTATTAAAAGGTATTTGGGTGCTCTAAAGGCCATGGCCTCCACACATGGCCACATATCAGCCTTGAAACTGTTGAACGAGGCTGCGTGGATTCTATTGTTCATATGCAGGGTACCTGGTATTGGTCCAAACTATGATGCTCAGCCTCGTCTTTGGTTCTCACGTGACTGACAGCCTCGTTGACGTAGTACGGCTTCCCCCTGCTACTCGTTTTCGCAACCCACGCGTCAACTTTGGTAAGTGACCTTCTTACTCCGCGTCGGAGACTCTCAGAGATGCCGCCTCAGAGCAGAGGGGGATCGCCTGCTCTAGGACCACGTCCCTACTCAAAATCGGATGCGCTTCCACCCACCCTGCGACCCTACCTAGAAAACCTTCCTTCCCCAACCGCATTAATCCCCAATGATCAACGCACTCCGACCGGCCCTCGCATGACCATCCCGGACCGCGACATCTCAACGCCGACGCCAAGCCCTCAGAGGTCTCGAGCCGCAACTGCGTTCGAACTTGGTGCCGAAGATAAAGAAGGGAGCGAAGACGGAGACGCAGGTGCACTTGGCTCAGGCGGAAGAGCTTCGCCCTTGGAGGAGATCGGACACGAACAGGACGGTATCGACCTTGATGTGGCAGGGGTGACTTTAGACGACGACGATTTCGAGTCGCACTACTCTCGTCAGGAGTCTTCGGAATCAGAAGATGAAGGAGAATTAGTTGAGGCCGAGGGTGAAATAGTCTCTCACGAGAACTACAACGACGAAGAACGAGAAGAGGATCAAAATGGTGCTGCTGGCCCAGGAGAACATCTGCCGTCGGCTTCAGAAAGGCCAGAGTCGTTATCTCGTGTGCGCTCATTGCCTGCTCGACCAACGATCTCACAGACATCAGGGCATTCCCAACCGCAGCATCAGAGAGAGGGCTTGCACACCTCACAGTCCACCACAGCTCTCCCACCTCCACCACCGCCTCCGCTGTATCCTCCATTCTACAATCGACCCCCGACTCCCCTACCACCTTCTCCCAGCTTAACTTCTCTCCTCCGTCCCCCGTCCTTGCTCAACCGGTCGACTGCCTCAACTCGGCCCACCACACCAGACAGTTCGGATGTGGAGACGCCCAACGACACCGAAGCAGCTGTCGCACATTCAGCTCGGCGCGCTCACCCGGTACCGCCAACATCACCCAAAGTTCCCACGTACGAGTACTACGGCTTTGTCTTATACCTGGCCTCGACTCTCGCCTTTCTGATCTATATCCTCTGGTCGTATCTCCCGTCTCCTTTCCTTCACGCTCTAGGGATAACCTATTACCCGAACAGATGGTGGTCCCTCGCCATACCTGCCTGGATTGTAATGCTTCTTATTTTCATCTACGTTGCCCTTTTGAGCTATAACGTCGAATACCTTACTCTTCCTCTGACAAGCCTGGAATGCATGGTCGATGCGACTGCAAATGTGGCGATACTTGACGAGTCGGGACGAATTAGGAAAGGGGGGAGCAAAAGGCTGGTAAAGGAGTTGGAAGATCGAGTCAGGCTTGAGCGGGAGATGGAGAGCGTAAGAACCAAGAGCGGCAAAGGCAGGAAGGCGTCCAAAACTGGAGTCGAAGCATCTCATCGATCAAAGGAAAAGGGAAAGCGAAAGCCCTCTCGAACAAATATGGATCATCCATCGCGATCCGACCTTCGGGCCTGGGACTACCAGTCTACCACGTCTACTCAGCCTCCTGCCACGTCCTCTCTCCCCGACCACCGGCCTACGGCCAATTCATACAACTATTCTTCAACGTATCCTTTCATCCCAGCAACTACGCAATTAGCTCGTTCCCAGTACGATTATCAGACACAAGAAGCCTACCCCACGCACCCGAATTGGAAGCTCGTTTGGAACGAAGGAACGGATGCGGTTATGGATGTGCCTATTGGCGGCGTTTGTGAGGTTCTGTATGGCTAAATGAGCTTCCGGACAGCAACGGCCGTTTCGTCAGTATTCCCGCCTCAGATGTTGGGACCAACGGTCCACTTGGATTCTGTGAAGAATATTGTGCCACTTCTCATACCGCTCCCAACAAGTCGCCACCAACGCTTGTGTTTGCGTCATTGGCTATGCGCCAGGCACAGCTAGAGTTTCGACTATGCTAGCTAGGCAAATCGAATAGACACCCGCCACCAATGTTAAGGATATACCATTGGGGAGGACATCAGATCTTTGCAGCGGCCATTGGCAACAAATATTGAAAGACTCGACCTGTACAAGTCCATATTTACCTTTTACGGAACGGCACACCTGTAACAGGACGGATGGAACAGGTGTCCGATCTCAAGTGGCCTTGGAGCTCAATGGCTCCACACATGCATCAGAGCCGTCCGTTCGTCGACACCACGTCTTGCGCGAAAGATGACTGCATGGCCAGACCATTGAAGCGATTTGCCATCGCTTTGATAACAACCACATATCCTCTGCAGTGCTTGTTATGTAAGGGAGCTTGCGTGTTTCGTAAGCCCGATCTTTGAACCGCAGATGCTAGCTGCAGACAACCTGGGGCGCGGACGAGCTAAAGGATGCCATTCAAAAGCTGTGGTCCTCATTGAACAGGGGCAGATTCACATGGGCGGCGGGGACCGTCTCACAAGCGCGAACAACGCAGCTAGAGCCGCCCTCAACGCATGCCACAGAACCGTTGAGTCGACTAGACTTCCGTGCCTAATAACGACGTCGACTGGCCTGACACATGCAACTCCTTCAGATCGCTGGGGGGGCAATCTAAAGGGAACCCTACCCTGAATGCCGTTTCTTGCGCCTCGCTTGTCCTTGCCTGCCTGGACGAGGTGCTGGCACATGTCGCTCTCAATGACCAGCCCAGGGAGTCGGAGTGCCACCAGGTTGCCACAAGATGCACGAACTAGGATGTCCTTTTGCCTAACTGGGTTCGATGCAATCGGGAGTCCACACGATCCAGGTTTCATTCTCGGCAAGGGCTGGGTGGGATTGGGACGGGGAGCATCGGCAAAGCCTCCTGGAAACCCTTCCAATATTTCAACCACGATATAGCCGTCAATGATACCGTTGCAGAGTCGGAAACCCAAACGTTGTACCCGCAGAATCCATGTCTTCAACTGTTGATTTTGAGTGACCTATTGAGCATACTTTTCGAGCCGGTAATCAAACATTTGGTCCAATACTCCATCCATGTGCGGCAGAGTGGAGCGATAGGATCGATGTCGAGCCTACCGACGGATCTGGTGTTTTTGATCCTAGAACTGCGTCCTTTTAGAGAGGGCACCATCTTCAGGGGCGCGGTAAGGCCATATATCATTGTGCTGGGAAGGCTATTGAATGCGACTTTCCAGAATAGTTGAACGCAGAGTCTGCGCCAACCTCGCTCTACAGTCCAGTCGTCGTATGTGGAAGCTCTCTGGATCCGGATGGTACCACCACCTGCCCGAAAAGTTGCGAACTGGAGCTCCGGAAATCAGAAACCGCGAGCCAATAAAGAATGATAACCTGGTATAAAGCGATTGGCCGAATGTGCTGTTCCCAAGCATTGCGGATCGTGATTGGCCTCTGCACCAACTTCCAAATTGTCTCCCCGGCCGCCAGCCTTGCGAGTTTTGCTTACATTGCCACTGCGGTCCATTTACTAAGCGGAGGACAAAGCTCTTTTCGGTGTCGTTTACCGAGCTTTCTGGGGCCCGCCCCGGTTGCCAGTATGTCCGACGAGCACGTTCCAGCGCTGCCAACAGAGCCCTGGCATTGAACTTGGGCAAAAGTGTGCTGCTTCGCACGGTGGCATGACGATGAACCTGGTGGAATTCCGTGACAAGCCCAGAAATTTAGGTTCCGAACCCTGGTAATGGACATGCCTGGCCCTCCAGGTTAACCGACAGTGCTTCTGTCGGCTTCTGGGGGTTGGAGACGTCTAGCAACAACAGGTCTTGCCAAGGCCTAAATTCAACTAACTCGTGCACATCTAAGGAAATTTGTGGCTGTTAAGCGAGCTGTGCCTCATGCTTGCTTCGCAAGCGCAGACCAGCTCGACCAACACCGCCTCGAGGTTGATTATCCAACCAAGTTGATTATAGTACAGAAGCCATTCTCGGCTTAGGGCGGGCCGTGTGGAGGGTGAATATCAAGGAGGCAGCAACAGTACCGAAAGCGGACTGGACCAGCTACAGACGATTCACGGTGTGAAATGAAACGCCTCTCCAGAAGGCTGTGGGAACTGATCACAGCCTTCATCGGTTATGGACGTATTGGAACTTCCAGGCTCGGCAAGATCACCTTCATCGGATATGGATGTGTTGTAACTTCCAGGCTTGGTAAGATCCGGCCGAGCCTATGCAGTTGGTATACAATGATTAACGAAGTCGCGAATAAATATCTATATCGGAAGGCTCCGCATATGTGCCCGAATAGGAAATGTTGCATTAGCCCAAAGCATACGACCCCGAGACTACATCTTCACCAAAGCAGCAAATTCCGAGCCTGTTGTCTCGAAGGTGACGCATCAAGGCGACTGGCAAAGATCATCAACTGCTTTGCCGCTGTATTCTACATGGCGGCCGTTGCGATCTGCACGAATCAGGTGCTGGATCCGTAATATATGGTGATCCTCGACAGCAGGCGACCGACTGGGGGTGTGGGATTTTTCCCACGTTACAGCCGCAGATTACGCGCCCTCTGGGTCTCCGATGGTGGAAGGGTGCCTGAGCTTGGCGACTTAGTGGCCTGATCTGCATGAGTCCGTCTATCTAGTCGCTTGATGCTTCCCACCTGACGAGCACTACTCATCGTCCTGGTGCTGGGCGCCCTGGCAGCACATGGCAAGAACACGGGAAGATGTTGCCGTCGGGGAAAACTCAGCTTCTCTGTTGCTGGCGAGATGCTGTCCATTTATCATGAGGCTCCTTCCTGCCCAGGTTGCTCCATCGATTGCCAGAACACACACTTGTTGATCATTGCCCCCGAACCCGTTGTACGACTAACTACCTTCTTCCAGTACAATCTGCGGTGCTTCCTGTGCTGCTCCAACTCCAGACTATCGACTCTATACTGGCGCGGAACGAAACCAAAGAACAAAGTCAATCTGCCCTTGGGACCCTGATTCCGTTGGGAAGTCGACGTGATACCACGGACCGAAACTAAAGCACACGAGCCGAAGTGACCAGATAGTGGATTGATTCATGTGCGTGGCTTCTCAAATGGCCTGCCCCGGCAGCTGTCCTTCCCAACCAGCACCGACATCATCCTCGCCACAACACACGAGCCAACCTTTACTGCTATCGGACAGGAGCCTTGTACCCTGTCAGTGTGGCATTTGTCCCGAGTTTTATGGTCTCCCTGCTACAAGCCCCGCAATGTCTGTCTGCTCCTCCTTCCAGAGCGGGATGTCGCCCGGCACCAGGTTAACGGGCATCAACGGCCCAACCATCGAGTTCTTTCAACCTGCTCACGATAGTGCCATGTGTTTCGGAGAGCCTCCAAACCTGGACATGGGTGGCTACTCAGACAGCTCACCTTGCCTGAACCAACCCGATCCAAGCTATGGCGCCTCTTCGATGGTAACGAGCGTGCCGGAGCATACCAATGGCGCACCGAGCAGTCCGGAGTGTGTAACTGCGTGCTTCGAGCCCATAGGCACGATTGCCACGCGGAACGAGGTCAGTGTAGGCATTGATGACCGGGCTGGAAACCAAAATCCACTGACATTTCATCTCACAGAGACGGAAGGCACAAAACCGAGCGGCTCAAAGAGCTTTTCGCGTTCGCCAACAGCAAGCTTTAGCAGAAGCGCAAGCTAAGTTGCGCGCCTTGCAGGCAGAACTGGATGGAGCTACTGGGAGAAAGGACCATTTTGAACGATTATACAAAAGTCTCAGCCGCGAGCACGAGCAGCTTCTCAGAACATTTCAGGAGTTGCTGGTATCAGTCCAATCGAGGTCTCCAGGAACTGAAGTGCAACTGGTCCTCTAGTTTTGAGTCTTCTCCTCGAGCTGGGGGGACTAAATTTACATGTATACATATATGCGGCTAATTATATCCAAGGCTAACCTTCAGATCTTTCATGCGTGCGTCGTCCATTATTTACCTCAAAGGAAATTGCAGTGGGAGTATTACACCTTGTAGGCAGAGGGCCCCTTGATGCGAGGTTCCGTGGATCGAGAGTTCCCTTCGAGATCTCTCCATCCGACCAGTATTCCCGATTCGGTAAAAGGTCATCGCTGGAGCTCGCTTGACGAGGAGGGGTGTCAGCCGCCGTGAGCACCTCTCAATTGGCCACATTTCTCACCGTCGGATAACGTGTTGCCTTCTGAGCGTTAGTCATCAGCTGAATGTCTGGGACCACAGGGCCACTGGGATGTGGGAGGGTGGTTTGAGCACCCCGCAAGGATCCCGAGGCTTCTTCTCAGCATGGGAGGGTGATTCCGCCGTTGTCTCTGTGTCGCGAAATGCTTGATTGTCCGGCTCATTGTCTCTGAGTCGGAACCACTTGTCACGAACATACTCGTGGGCACGTCTCGCCCCTGATTCCAACCAGGTGTGTCGGTAGCAATCCCTCTTAAAGTTGCGAGAGGTGTAGCAGGGGGGACCAGAATATCGTCGCCAGTCGAGCCTGGAGCGGCCCTTACATTCCACCTTATCCGCATCTGGTGTTTGCAGAAAAGCATGGCGAGCGATCATCATCGCCACGCCAGCAAATGGGATGCCGCAACAAAGAAGCCGGTGGTCGATTCTGGATTCGAGTTCGTGTTGATGGGAGCAGATGGTGCCCTCGACAAGGCCGGCATCAGCCAAATAAGAGCGCATACTACGCGAGAACTGCATAGGACGAGACGGCAAAACGGCCAGGTATGCCCATCCCCTCAGACAGGTGACTTGGGCGGTTGCAATGCCTATGCAACAACTGCCTGCTGGCTGCGAACAGAGCAATGCAAGGAATGCCGCTTATCTAATCCTGAGGTTCCAGGTCCTGCCACGACGACGCCGCATACGCACGGGTAATATATATTTTGGTTCTCAGTTCGATCCTTTTCACTCGCTTCCACAGCTGTCGATAGAGGAGCACATACCGGGTATACTGGACGAGGTCAAACATAATGGTGAATCCTAAGCCCTCCCCGGCTCTCCCTTTGCCATACCGGTTCTACGGGTCGTTATCGCAGGTATATATGTGACTTCAGCCTGCTGATAGCGTTTGTAGTTTTCGCCGTCTACAACCAGAAAAGGATGCAACAGAGTGTATGGCCTGAAGGGACCAAAAACAGCACATTCTTCGCCTCAATGCTGCTTCTGTGTTCGGTTCATCTCGACGGCCTGAACTCAAGGTCGACGTCGCCAACGACCACTGCTTTGAAGCTAGAAGCCATGCGCCGAGTTCGCACCCTTATCCAGCAGTCCACCCCGGTTGCAATCATGAGCTGCATATCTGCCATTGCTTCTCTTGCCACGTGTGCTTTAGTAAGTGAGATTTTGAACTCCCTTTCACCATGGTTGGAGTCAGCCTGCACGGGCGAAGGTGGCGATAAAGAAGGCGATGGGGTCAGACTGTTGCTGACTTTGTAGGTACGTGGAGAGCCGGCAGGGGCAGAGGAATATGTTATCCACCGAAACGCCTACGCCGTTCTCATAAGAGAAGCAGAGAAACTGCACATGTTTGATGACTCAAGGTTCTGCAAGGATGTGCTGAGGATCATCATGATGATCGCGTGAGCATACGAGAGACTCCGTGATTTGATGCAGCGAAGCTTACCATCAGCGCAGAATCTCGAGGAGATGCAACATACCCGTGCCTGGTCTCGCTCCTCCATTGAACCCACGCACTGCTGTTAAGGAATATGAGCAGATCTTTGAAGATAGATGGCATTCGAGAGTTCAGGCTGACCCGGAGCTATACTCACCCTTTTATGATGGGCGAATAGATCCCAGCGAAGATCCGTTCCCGTTGGTGAGAAGAGATCACCTGCGGCTCCTCCTCCAGATGATGCAATCAGTGGTCAAAATCTGGCTTCGACGAAGCACATGCTCATCACAACAGCAGCTTACCGCGGATGCAATGATATCAATGTCTTTTTGTCAGCGTATACTGGCCATGCCGTCTTCGAAGGTTCCCGACTTACCGTCTTCGGCGGATCACGTCTACGAGGCCTGCAGATTGACCTCTATTCTATTGATTCGATCGGTTGAGAGTAACAGACACTGGCGTTTTGTGGCGCGAGGCACTTCTATACTTCAAGACATCCGAGATGCGCTCCAGAAGACCGACCTGGACAACCTGTGGGACAAGGAGATTGGCCTCCTATACTATGTCGTGTTGATCTTCCACACCGCCACCTTCGACTCACCACATTACCTGCTCAGTCATCTTCTGGAGACCAGGATACATTTTGCGGTGACGTACTCTTATGACGACTGGATTGGGGCGATGAAACCCATGTTAACACTCTACGAGTTGATGCCGAGCAAAGAATTCAGCTTGCCAGACCGCACCGCAACACCGGGTTCCACCGCCGTCTATATGGAGACATTGGCCGATCTCCAATCGACCGCAGAGCCCGATAGCGTTATACTTTCCCCATGACGCTGGAACGAGCAGTTGGGGATACATTCAGTCCTCACTCAAGCATTGGCGCTTTCTTGCACAGTTTACGTCGAGGGCAGCCAGAACATGGCTACTAGCCGCTGGGATGGTGAACAGGAACAGCGATACAGCCTAGCTTGTACTAAATGCAAGGCTTTGCAGATGGAAGCTGGTTGGTTGTGGCTACTCTCCCAGAGCCTTTGCGACTTTTCCATGTATTACCTGCAAGGACTTTGCCTAACGGGCATTTTGTCAAGAGCTTGTGGCCACGCCGTGCATACAAGTATGACACCTGGAGAGCCATATCCAATGAAACGGAGAAGGCGGAATTGGTCTCGCATTCCCGCTATCCATCCAGTGCCCGTTGCAGATGCAGGGATGAAGATCTCCCCAGTCTCAAGGCTGTCATGGGATCATGAATTGATCGGATCCGCTCAGGGTCCATGGACGCTCCCTCTGGACTAGGCCAGGCTCAGGGAGTTGCAGAAAGAAGGCCAATCGACGACCAGTCCGTGCAAGTGCAAAGCCCATCGCTTCTGTCAGTCTATATATTCGACGATGCAGGGCCCACGGCCGGCGGCGAACTCCATATACACTACGATTCTCGACTTGGGCGGTAGAAATCTGGATTCCACTTCTAGCATGACCTTTCCCGTCGCCACATGGACAGAATGAAGGGAGTCTGTGCTGCTCGCAGAATGGAGACGCTTTGGGAAGTATTGCCAAGAGCCCTGGATATATAGGGCCAAGTTTGTCACAGATTATGTGATGGGACTTCCGCCCTCGTGGAGGAATGCCATGGGCGAGGCCCAGGAGTTGGATATCATTCCCGACAGGGCGTGAAGAAACCCATGCTGTTACGGCCAATGACTGTTTCCACGCGAATACTTTACGCGACCTCTAATGCTCGGTACGAATCGTTACGAGCCAGGTATGCAGGGTCTGATCGCGAAGACTGGAGACAAAATGAAGGCATGATCCCATAGCATGACGGCGTTTGGCGCCCGGTGTGATCGACATTTGTCACACCACTCCGACCTTTCCCGGGGAATCGAGTAAACTCAGCGCACCAGGCGCTACCCAACAACCAGGAGACCGACCTCGAACAAGTATTATATGAACCATGGGGTGCTTAGTCTGCGCGGCTTCTATTTCTCATGGATATTGTCATCAAGACATCACCATATCATTTCTCCCCCTTGAGGCTATTCCCTATTACAACCAGCGTGTGTCTGCCGTGGAATTGACCAGGTGATGAAAGGTTTCACGGTGGATGTCTACGCCGTGAAACCGGAGCTTGCCACAAGAGCGTGAAAGCCTTTGCATAACACATTGGCAACCACGACCTTCGCTTATCCTTCACAGTAACATACCTCTGGGGAGTCGGGCCATTTTCAACCCCGGATCCAGTATTCAAGCAGCATGCTGGAACAACAGTTCTTCCGGTGAAGTATAGTCTCCTGGTGTACGGTGGTTCCTCCGTATTCGTATTCCAATGGCGACGGTGGACAACCTGCAGGGCCAATCACAGCCTGCCACCAGACAATGAAGAATATCTCGGCATACCCGCAAGGCACACTTCGCCATAAAACAGTGTCAATGATGGACAACCATGCCAATGTCAGTGTGGTCGTGAGAGACACGAGATTCATCCCATTGGCCGTATCAACATTGAATGCCCGAGAGATTAGGGAGTCGGCCTTCTAGCGGGAAGGCAAGGCTGACTCCGATGCCGAATACGAATACATGGCAGACCGCAATCTTCACGAGGGTATGTTGGTGAAGAGGATCTTATATTCACCATCACTTTGCTGTTCATGCGACAATTCGTGCTGGTTTGTGACTGCTCTTCCCTCTGGTCTTCCTGGACTTTTCATCTGAAAGTCATATTGTGCCATTGACGTCCTCGCCGGTGTCGCTGACCTATTGCGTCAAAGCAGTGCGATTAGAGAGCTTTGCCTGCCAATCTCGAGACTATGGATGATAACCGTCGGTTCTACTGACATCTTTGGTTGAGCGCACAGCTGATCAGAGCAAAGGCGACGTCAACAAATTCCTCGACAACATTGCGCGAGGGCCATCGGCTGTGTTTGCAACCTTCTTCGCCGCGTCTTGTGTCTTGCATGCGTGGCAGAGCAGGTGAGTGTCTCCATTTCACTATGTTCTATGCAGACTGCTAATCGAGTGGCTCTGATAGGAAGTACAAATGCTGGAGCTACACATGGCCACTTCCTTGCGCATGCATTGTTATGACGGCAGGCTTCATCTGTCGAGAGGTCGCCGCAGACTACCATGATGCAGACGGTTTGGGCAGTGCGGTTCAAGGGCTATTCTATAGCGCCGCGTGAGTTCAAGAGCATCCGGTCTTCCTCCACACGTCTAGCAGGGATTGGTTGCTGACAATTTCTTGTATTGAGTAGAGTCATATTCACCCTCCCGCTTTACAAGTTCCTGCTCTGCTCGTCAGTCACCACCGAACTGCTGCCGCGACTCAACTTGACTATTTCCTACATCATGATCTGGACCTTCACCAGCGCCGTCATCTCCTGCACCGCTCAGGGCGCGTCGACGTACTTTAACCCAGACGCCAAGAAGGGTACTGTCACTTCGTCTCTTGCACTGCTCAAAGCAAGCCTCTTCCTGCAATTGGCTCCGAACGGGGCATTTATCTGCCTCCTTCTCCTATTGCTCTTCCGACAGGATGCGAATGCCGCTCGTCGACGAGCACTTCTGATGTCGTCGTTCGTGTTGATGGCGCTGATCTGCGTGCGCAATCTGTTTCGGACCATTCAGCTCTTCAGCTCACCACGCTCCCGACCGTGGACCGACGAGGCGTATTTCTGGGTCTTTGAGGGTTGTGTGATGCTGAGCTACACGGTTCTGTTTCATGTTCTGCATCTGGGCAAGTTCGTTCCTACTGGGCTCTATGACTGTTCGCAAGGAAGACGACGGTGTAGTTGAGTGCACAAGGGTATCTGTGCATGTACTGTGACTACTTGTCGAGAGTCTGGTGTATGGCTGTTGTTGGAGTACCCGTCCCCTGATTGGCCAGCCTCGCTTCCCCTTCAAGCATCTCAGCCTTGCAGCAACATGGACCAATGGGCGGCCTGATGACGTTGATCCATGGATGGAACCTCGGTGGATCCTCCGGCAGTTGTTGAAAGTTCGATTTTTTCCTTCTTGCACCCAAGTTGATTAGTTGGTACATAGCTAGTTAGAAGTTGCGTCGTGTTCTGTAGTCTCTTCACATCCTAAACTCGAGCTGTATAGAGAAAAACCCCCATTAGAAAGGACACTAGACTCACCATGCCGCTTCCAACCGGAGTGTATCGCGCCGACCAGGTCGGGTCCCTCCTTCGGCCGAAGGAGATCCTCGAGGCCCGTGAGAAAGTCGCGGCGGGAGAGCTCTCCAAGACAGATCTGCGGCAGCTCGAGGACAAGTACATCGCCGACGTGGTGCGGAAACAGCTCAATGCGGGCCTGCGGGCCATCACCGACGGCGAGTTCCGGCGGGCCTTCTTCCACCTAGACTTCCTCCAGCACCTGGACGGCATCGAGGTGCGTGGCAACATGATGTCGACCAACACGTCCAAGGGCGGGTTCGCGCCGCCGAAGCTGGTGGTGACGGGCAAGCTGGGCCATAGCCGGCCCATCCAGGTGGACGACTTCAAGTTCCTGGAGCGGCAGATCGCCGAGGCCGGGGGCGCGGGCGCGTTTGGCACGGTCTCGTCCAAGGTGGCCATCCCCAGCCCGACCATGGTGCACTTCCGCGGCGGGCGCGAGACGATCGACCTCGACGCGTACCCGTCCATGGACGCCTTCTTCGACGACCTCGCGCGCGTGTACCAGGAGGAGCTGCAGGACCTGTACGACGCCGGGTGCCGGTTCGTGCAGCTCGACGACACCAACCTCGCGTACCTGTGCGACCCCAAGATGCGCTCCGAGGCCGAGTCCCGCCACGGCGCCGACGCCAAGCAGCTGGCCAGCCAGTACGCCACGCTGATCAACCGGGCCATCGCGAAGCGGCCGGCCGACATGACCATCGGCATCCACCTGTGCCGCGGCAACCACCGCAGCCAGTGGTTCGCGCAGGGCGGCTACGAGCCCGTGGCCGAGGTGCTGTTCAAGGACCTCGACGTCGACGTCTACTTCCTCGAGTACGACGACGCCCGCTCCGGCGACTTCAGCCCCCTGCGCCACCTGCCCCCGCACAAGGTCGTCGTGCTCGGCGTCATGACCAGCAAACAGGGCGCGCTGGACGACAAGGCCGCCATGGTCCAGCGCCTCCACGAGGCCGCAAAGTACTGCCCCAGGGGCCTCGAGCAGCTCTGCCTCAGCCACCAGTGCGGCTTCAGCAGTACCATGGAGGGCAACGAGCTGAGCGAGGACCAGCAGTGGGCCAAGATCCGCCTCGAGGTCGACATTGCGAAGACCGTCTGGGGGCCCAATACCGCCGAGTGAGGGATCTCTTTACCCCCAAGGCAATCATAGTCGGAGGGCGGGGGGAAACAATCTAGGTGTGAAAAAGGAGGGGGAAGGGGGTGGCGATGATTGTTTTGCGTAAGAAAAGATTTCTACTTCCGGTTCTCCGGATGGTTTGGGAGGGTTTCACACTCGATATAGAGAGAGAGAGAGAGATGGGAGGCAGCGAAGTCGGAGTGTTTGGTTTGGTCCGTTTTCAACAACGGTCAGATGATGCAAGATGGTCCGAAAGACGACGGGATCAAGCTTGCTCGATGCACATACCGGGGTGAAAAGGCGAGTCATCTCGTCAAGGTTAAGATCAGGGTGGAGATCGAACTGGCGCTGTTCAACAATTGATACCCAACCCACACCGTGAGCGGTCCGAGAGAGACGTCGGTACAAGAGATAAAACATAATAAAAATTTCATATACAAATACCATCGAAACACTGCGTCAAGTTGGAAAGGATTTTCCATGAAATTCTACCAAGAAACCCTGGACCAGTCTATTTTGTATGGACCATTCTACCACTTCTCAAACGTCCGCGTCTCCACCCACCTCCCGAACCGGACGACCAACTTGTCCGTGCGCGTGAAATAGTCGGCGGCCCAGAGCACGGCCGCAGTGGCGAGCGCCTCGCTCACGAAGCACGCCGCGGCCGACTCGCCCAGGTGGGCCTGGCGCCAGGGCTCGAGGACGGGCTTGAACAGGCTCTCGAACACCAGGATGTGCGTGGCGTAGATGCCGAAGGACAGCTCGCCCAGGTATCGCGAGAAGGACCAGGTGAGGGGCCCCTGCAGCGTTGTCGGCGCGTTGTCCAGGCCCAGCACCACCAGCCCAGCGCCGACACTCACCCAGAACGTGTACGTGGCCTCGCCGTACCACCAGGGCACCAGCCGCAGGAGGGCCGGCCACGGGTCCGGGTTCTCCGGGTTGCGGTCGGGATCGTCGGGCTGGCTGAGCAGGAAGAAGCCCGTCGTGAAGACCAGCGTCCAGCCGATCTTGGAGGAGAGAGGGTGCTGCCACCACGAGGGTGGGGGTGTGGTTGGTTTCTCAATGTCGATAATGTCGGCGTCGTGAGGGGGCCGAGGCACAAGACGCCGTCCGAGCCGCTCGGGGTGGCGCGCCAGCGACACGTCCGCGATGAACATGCCCATCAGGAACTCGGCGATGTAGACCGCCCGCCAGTAGTAGGACAGCAGCACTACCAGCAACAGGAACACCATGCGGGCCCGGCTCGAGAGTCTGCACGACGCGGCGCAGAACGCGAACAGCGCAATGCTGCCCCGGTACTCGACCGGTATCGTCCACATCTGGTACAGGTACCGGGAGCGAAACACCCCGCCGTGGACCCAGCCCTCGATGTGGGCGAACGGGTCGCTCGACACAAGCCAGTCCTGGAGCCAGTCCGAGACCTGTTCGAGCAGTGTGTCTTTCCGCTCCGACGCGTGCGGCCAGAACCACCCCAGCCGCGTCAGGACCATGGCCACGAACGTCGCGATCCCGGTCGAGCCGTACAGCCGGAGCCATCGCCGGAAGGTCGAGGACGCGAGACAGTCCAGCAGCTTCGCCGGGTCCTTGTTGCGCATCGCCCTCAGCATGCGGTAGCTGAGCACGTAGCCCGAGATGACGAAGAAGACGGCCACCATACCCGGTCCGCCGCGAAAGAGGACCCGGAAGAACGGTTGTTGGAAGAGCCACATGCTGGGGAGTGGGAAGGCGTGGTAGAAGAAGACGATGAGCGCTGCGTAGCCGCGCAGGGCGTCGAGGTATGCCGTCGGATGTAGTTCTCCCTTGCACCGGCCGCCGGGTTGGATGTAGGTTGGTAGGAGGCTTATGAGGACTCGCAGGGAGAGATGTTTCAATTGAATCCACCACTTACATCTCCGGCGCTCTGGGACAACGAACCCGCTGTTGTGCGGAAGCCTGTTTTCGCATGGGCTATCCAGATCGTCGAGGAGGGGAATCGCCTGCTCCATGGTAGACAGCATGATGGAGCTTGCACCAGGAGACTGTTCCTGGTAAATTCCCGGGACTTGAGGCACTCGAAATAAAGTAAGAGTCGAGCTGTCCGGTTTGGAGGAGGTTGTGATCAGCGATGGAAAGACGGAGCGTGAAGGTTCGCTGAGAAGGAGTCAAGCCAATTTCATCGAGTTATGCAAGTCATCGTGTGCATGAGTAGGAGGTTTGTCTTATTAGGTCGCGTTCCTGCACGACCTTGAACCGCTTGAGCTGGCATTCCCGTCTCGACACGAGGGACATGCAAGGGGAATGAGCACGGCCACTGTGCCACAGTGCCACATTCTTTGAACGGACCAGACCTTGCCGCCATTTATCATCCCTTGACATGTTGAAGGTCGAAAATTCAACAGGCTCTCTGTAATTCCTTGAACCTAGTGGCTGTTTCTGGTACGGGGTCTTGCTGTGCTAGTTATTAGGGATCTTGGATTTATCTCGAACAAAATCCGTCGTGTTTCTTAGGGGGAGACATGTCTGTGGCTAATTAGGACAATTGCGAGGCTGCTGGAACTCTGTGGGCCAGCCCTTGGATACTCGATCCCGACAGACTGCAGCCTCGCCTCTGAGGATCACATATTTTGGCTTTATTCATCCAACCGAAGAGCCCACATGGCCGTGACGTTGAACTCCAGCCACGCTCGTTTGTAGAGACACAAATGCCGCTGTCAAGTTGCTTGGCTAAGGCGGGCAATTTCCACCTTCGGCCGTCCAACTTTCCGCGTTTTCTTTTCCTTCATTCCATGATTGCTATCACCAGCATCTATTTCTCAGTCTGGCGACAATGCCAGCCGCTGTTCCAGTGCTAAAGGTCGCAACTCCTGGCTCCACAGGGGGTTTGGCAGATGGCAGGCAGCACGGAACTGTGCGGTGTCCGATCCGTGTCCCAGATAATGCCGCCCATCATGTGTCCGGACCTCAGTCCCCGGAAATGAGACACTGTATGCAGGTCAGAGAGGCCTTGCTGCGGTACGTTGAGAAACTTGTTGCCAGCTGATGCCTAACTGAGCGGTTGTAGAAGGCTGAGTAGCGAACTATATCATTAAGACCCAACCTGCCAAAATTGTGCCCCAGGTCGTCTGATCAGAACAAGTCCACGAGAAAAACTGTACAAGACGTTGACTTTGTGCTGATACAATGTCGCCTAACGGAACAAATGGGACGATCGAGCCCAAACATGGCAAAATGGCCTCGCAGAACGAGTATATGCCAGAATTGCCCGCCAAGCATCTCAATACTCCCGTTGAAGTCACGCCTTCACCAGAGGAAAAGGCTGCTGGGCAGTTCAATGACGCCAATATCAAGTTGTTCCTCTCTGGAATGCATCGAGATGGTGTGGTCATTCTCAAAGACATCATCAACCCAGACCACCTCGATGTCATTAACGAATTCATGGTTGACGACACGAAGAAGGAGCTCAGCAAGGAGAACCTGTACAAGAACTTTGGTGCCGAGAACATTCAACAAGGTCCTCCATTGACGCCATCAAAATACTTCTTCAACGACGTCTATCTGAACAAGCTGCTCTTTCATGCCGTGAATCTTTACCTAGGACCGAACGCCACATGGAACATGATCAGCGGCAACAACGCCTTACCTCACGGCGTCAAGCGGCAACCTGTCCATTCCGACGCCATGTGCAATCATCCACCAGCACCGTTCTACGTAGTGGCTAATGTCTACACCTGCGACGCCAGCCCGGCCAATGGCTCGACCGAGATTTGGCTTGGGACACATCATTTTAACACCGAGGCCCAGACGCCGCCCGGTCCGAAAGGGGAAACTCACATCACAGATGAATACGTTGCCGAAAGACAAAAGACGCTGCCTGGTGTTCAACCTACAGTGAAGAAAGGTTCGATCCTGTTTCGCGACATGAGACTATGGCATGCAGGAGTGTGCAACAAGTCCGACGACATGCGATTTATGATTGCCTTGGGTTTCTCTGCCAGCTGGTGGCACGGGACGGCCAAGTTCAGAGTTCCTTCAGGGACAGGCGTGTACGAGCGGATCATCCATGGCACCAAGGGACAAGGGATCACGCCTTTGATGGTTGACCTGCCGCCTGATGAGTACGAGAAGCTGCGGGATGCGCATGATTTTAGTGATGTCGAGAAGATGACGTACGAAGGAGAAATCTTCTAGTTGCACAACCGGGGGGAGGTTGTCTGATACAGGGACTTCAGTTAAGGCGGTGGGAATGCCGTGTTCAATCCAGCATCTGTCCAGCTACCTGCTCAGGAGGGTCATTGCATATTCCGCCTCTTTGCGGTCAGAGACGACTACCAGGCCGACTATTACCAGTCCGAATCATGTAATAGAGTACAAAGCAGTCTGCAACTGAGCCATCAATAATGTTAGACGTGCATTGACTCTTCCTCTACATGTTGCCCAGGCTGCAGATTCCCTAATGCAAGCGCCGTACAAGGCTTCCGATCAGCCTTGTGGCTGTAGCCAATAGGAAACTCCAACATCATTCCGCATCACGTGGACGGAACTTCGACATCATCTCCCGGATACCAAAATGTCTATTTTCCATCTTCGTTTGTATCTCCATCTTCTCCGTCCCTTACTCACGGCATCAACCCCGGTAAACCAAGACGCCCACTCGTTAAACCCAGAACAGCAATGATTTTCCGGGTCTCGTGCAACTGTCGATAGCTATACTGGTACATCTTCCGGTATCAAGCTCAAGTAGGAGAGGGACAATGGCACGTTTGAATGCAAGTGTGTTCCTGACGAACTTCCGTACACGCGAGGGCTATGGATCGCGAAGTACAAGCCGTAAGGTGAAGCGGTCTGCCAGTACAAGATACCTATATCCGCCCATCGCTGGTCCAAAGAACATCGCAAAGTAGGTCTCTCAAAATTCAACAGAATGCGTGCTGCCGTGATATCCATTGCTTTCCTTGCCAGCAGCGTCTGGGGTCTTCCCACTGCGTCGTCAGTTCGAGGGCAGAATGCGAACTGTTTCCCTTTCGGAAGTGCCTCGTTCAATGGTTTACTTCAAGCACCCAACATGACTAGGAAGGAATGGTGGTGCCCTCAGTCCATGACATATGGCTTCCTTGGCTTCTCCTATCCAATGGAAGGAGAGTGCTACGATGACAGCTTCGACCGCATCAATGCCGACTTGCAACGCCAGAAGCATGACTTTGGTGCAAGCTTGATCAGAGTCTACCTGCCATATTGCTACACTACCTACATTTGGGAGAATCTGATTAAAGCTGCTGTCGCCAATGATATGGGAGTTGTGGCTCAAGTCGCCTGGCCTCTGAACGGCGATCCGGTAAGTTTGAAGCTCCTACGTACAGCCAGCTATCCGCTTAACCTTGTTCACAGCTTGAATACTGGCAGAAGATTGCTGCCTCCATCATCGAGATCCTCTCCAACAGCACTTACAAGGACATTGCACCCTACGTGTTTCACAGTATTGAATTCGGCACGGAACCAATTGGCGACCAAGATGATGGCGACAACTTCATCAACGACCTCATTGACTTCAAGGCGGCGGTAAAGCCTTATGGCATTCCAGTCGGCATCAGCGAAGACTGGGACCGTCCTGGGATCATGTGTAGTAATTACACAGCAGGCCAAGCGCCGGGCCTCGGCCCTACTGGGAAGCAGATACTTCCGCAAAGCGACTTTGTCCACGCCCACATCATGCCGTACTATCACGGATACAACATATCTGGATCGTGGGACTATATCAGTGACCAGGTGCACTGGTACAAGAACTACACGCCTGTTCCCCTCGTCATCTCTGAGGTGAGACATAATTTCGCCCCCTTTTCGGAGTTGATACTGGGCTTACTTTGACTTTTATTCAGACGCAATGGGCTTGGGAGCTCAACGTTCTGCATCAGGGCAGCAAAGACATTGGCACTCCGCAGTACACGACGTTCTGGAAGACGTACGACGCCAACTGCCAGTTCTTCAAGAAGAACAATGTGGGCTGGTTCCTGCACGCTTGGAAATGGGAAGGGACCTTCAACATGGTCACCCCGAACAACTCGTACGCGATACCGAATTGGAGACCGCAGAAGTGCTAGGAGCGAGGCCGGAATCTCTTCTCTAACACTTCGAAAGAGCAGAAAGCAGAGTGGAGAGGCTGAAGGTAGTAGTATCCAGTAGTATGCAATTAGTCATTCTATCCAGCCACCCTCAATTCCGGCTCTAGAGTATGAAGGATGTAATTCAAATCCAGATCTGAATATTCGCATTGCACTCACGAAGTGGCTACCCTTTGAACCTTCAACCAGCTGATTAACCCACGGTATCCACTTCTGAAGCACCCAAGCGAATACTACGTTGACTTATCGCTGTCTCCATATGTAACGGCAGAAGGACCAGTTCCATCCGTGCCTCTCCTCTCTGCCGGGATCGACCACGGGCCCTGCGGAGAAGAACGCACTTTTTACCCGTGCACGGCGCGAAAATGAGGCACGTTTCAACTTCTGAACCTGAAAGGGGATGTGAATGACCTGAGAAATCTAGTCGAGTGAACAACTGGCTTAAGTTGCACTATGCCGTATGCAAGGCTCCATCCGTCGCCCGCGTTCGGCCCTGGTGTGTCCGCACGGGGCTGTTTTACAGGTATGTACGTCTACTACACGACACGTACTTGGGTATAGGTCCTTCGTATATGCGAGTGGCTGCCTCGGCCGGTACAGTAAGTCATACATACATGCGTACTATCTCAAGCCCTCAAAGGGAACGGCATATACCATCATCCGCGCTGAGGAAATAGTCCCCTGGGGGTGCGCTTCTCGACGCCTGACACCAGTGGCTTGTAACAACCAACGACAATACCACCACCGAGTGACCATCAACGAAGACACCAACAACGAAGCTAGTGGGCCACCAGCAGGAGCAATCAAGAAATGGGGTCCATCACCCCCGAGCCCGACACAATCATCGACGACAGCAGCACTACCAGCAGTAGCAGCAACAGCAGTTGCTCTGCGCAATCGATCTTCCACGTCGTCCACTTCCGCTTCTTCGCGCACATCCCGCCCCCGACGCGCGCCGACATCGCGCACCAGTTCCTCGCGCTGCAGGCGCGGTGCCTCTCGCCGCAAACGCGCAAGCCCTACATCCGCTCCTTCACGGGCGGGCGGGACGTCAGCGTCGAGGACCTGCACAGGGGGTTCCACGCCGTCTTCGTCCTCGAGTTCGCCTCCCGGGCCGACCGCGACTGGTACGTCCACGAGGACCCCGTACATCGCGGGTTCGGGGTCGAGGTGTTGACGGGCGTGGTCGAGGAGGTCATGGTGGTGGATTTTCGGAGGGGGGAGTTTTGAAACGACGACGCGCGTTCTCGCCCTCTACATGAAAATTAGAGCAGGAGGGCAGAGTGATGCTGGGACAGTTGGGGTTGGGGTTTTGGGAAGTAGATTGTGCTTCTGTTGCTGAGTTGGTACAGTCGGGTAAGACGGTCGAAAGGCTGTTGTGTTTATGAGGCGGAAGAATAGAAAGTCGCTTAAGAAAGGTGTCAGAGCTAGACGCAAGGTCTTAATGCGCGACGTGGTGGGCAAGAGGGATAGATGGATCGATGGGAAGGTTATGATACTCGAGGCAGTTGCTCATATTGTATAGATTATGGTTCCGGCGCCTGCCCGTACGCTACGGTCTTGAATCGCATTACATAGACAGGACGAATCTCAACATGGTTACCGGGCCATCTAGCTCCAGACATTGACATGGCATCGACTGCGGCGCCAGGGCACACGCATATGTCCGTCGATGGGGCTCTCAAACTTCCACCTCTCGCGCCTCCGAGATCTTGAAGTCCTTGAACTTTCTCGCCGGAATGCCCGCCTCAAACATGTAGTCGAGTTCCTCGTACGTGCGCCCCTTCGTCTCGGGCAGGCGGAAGAAACACCAGACGGTGGCAATGGTGCTGAGCCCGCCAAAGAAGAACCCGGTCTTACCCCTCCAATTGCCCGAGGACGCATTGAGCATGTACGGAACCACGACGGTCATGATGATCTGGGCGATGGAGCCACTGCTCGTGGCCAGAGCAACAGTCTGCGACCGGAGACGCGTTGCACCGATCTCGGCAAAGATGACAAAGTTGATGGGTCCGACTGTGCCTTGGAACAGGAATGTCAGGATGTCGAGCAGAGCAGCCTGTGCCCAGGCCAGACCCTTCCGCGAGGTGTAATTAGGGACGCAGTCGAGAATGCCGATGATGAAGAGGGAGACGGCCATCATCCCCACACCATACATGTAGATGGTCCGTCTGCCGAAGAAGGACATGAAGACCCACGAGCAGCAAGTGGCCACAAACCCGATGGCGGTGTTGCCGACGCCCATGTCGAAAGAAGCACTGGTGGGCAGGCCGGCCAGTGTGAAGAAGTAGACTGCATATCCAATCAGGGAAATGCCAGTGATGACTTGGAAGATTTGGACCATAATGGCGACTTCGGTGCGAGCGCGACTTGAGGCCCGGAAGCACTCGAGGAAGGTTGTGTCCTTTTCCACTTCGGTCTCGTGCATCGTAGTCGCCTCGATGTTTGCAAGCGTCGCTTTGATATCGACTTTGGGTGACTCTCTAGCAAGTCTTCTCAATGCCTGCTCGGCCTCATCGACTCGGCCTTTACGCACAAGCCACCAAGGACTCTCAGGTGCAAAGAAGAGGCCGCCAGCAAGAATAGGGATCCAAATCCACTGAATGGCGAAAGGGATGCGGTATGCCCACTGATCAGTCCTTTCAGAGAATCCTTTGCCAACTCCAGACGCGACAAATTGTCCAATAACATAAGCAAGGTTCATTCCGGCATTCAGGATACCGCGGAGAGCCAAAGGGCACACTTCAGAGGCATATGTCGGTGCCAGAACGACGTAGGTGCCATAAAGGATACCCGCAAGGAATTCTCCCGCCGCAAGTGTGTGGATGTTGTTGGCAAACATCTGGAGAAAGATGAAAGCAGTACTGAAGAAGAGGGATCCCCAGAAGACCTTCTTTCGCCCCCATCTCTCCATCGGCCACGAAGCAGTGAAGGCTCCAAGGAACTGACCCACGGGCGTTCCCATGCCGAGGACGTTCTGCCATTTCGCCGACACCTCGTAGCCGATGTCGCCCCCATAGTTTGTGCCGTATTTTTTGACAAACGCTGGTAGGGCGTAGAAGCTGTAAATTAACCCTGAATCATAGCCGACCATGACCTGTTCCTTCTTCTCAGCATGCTGCTCTTTGGTTCCGTAGCTCTGTCGAAACAGGTAGACGGACTTGTGAGATTTGCGGCACTTACCAAGGACCAGGCAAATAGCGACGCCCAGAAGACCGCCATGGGGTAGAGTTTGACAGCTTCGATGACTCCCAATGAGTGCTCCATATGAGTGGCGATCTTCGACTGCTCCAACAGTTCGGCATGGTGTTCCTCCTTGACGTTGGTGACTTCACCCTTGGAGTCATCTTTGCTTGAAGACATGATGGAGCTTAGGGCCAGATGCGTTGCTGATGGAAGAGCACCCTGGAAGTCTGCGTTTGCTCGAAGAAATCGCCGAACAACTGGCCTCAATTAAAGGTGGGAATGGCAGCAGTCTTGTCTTCGGGCAATGGGACGGTGAACCCGTCTATCTTTTGATATTGGCTCGAAACATCAAGATAAGAGCTCGCCACCGGGGTAACGGTAGCAATTCACTTATCTGAAGCTGTTCGATAGTATAGAAGTGGAAAGGGTGCTACGGCATGTTGGAGGCAAATGTCCTTGCCATGCCTGCAACCCGCCTGATAAGGACACGGATCCACGGCCTCCCACCGGAATGCGACCTCCGTGTCCTCAACAGTCTGGATCAGTGACTATCGCTCGACCATTTCCCCGGATTTTGCGGCTCGTGACCACGCGGAGGTTCTTCGAGAGGTAGTCATGGTAATTGGGTTAATTGGATAGGTAGATGGAAAGTGGACCGTGTGTGAGGGGTCGTCTGCCGTTCTAGAGACTCTCAAGACAGGAACTTTTGGTTGAAGAGCCAAAAGTAAGAACCTATTTGTTGGGTAATTTCCCAAGTGTCCCGGTGAGTGACCGGAGATCATCAGGAGGATCAGCTATGTTATTAGGGGCAGTTGCTGACCCAGTCTTGCCAGTACAAGTTGCTGCCGAGGACAAGGTTCGCAGTGCGGGGATTCTCTTATTGATAAGCCGGATAAGGATTGGACCCAAGCACCTTCCCATTACCGGCTAGATTGGTAGTCACATGATTAAGCTAATCCTAATCAGTCCTTCTATCAGCCAGCTGCGCGCAACATCCACTCTTTTCCCACTTCCACCTCCCACAATCGTGATAAACTATCTGCTCACGCTGGATTCAGTCGTCACATCAGACAGTCCGTCTAGGCAATTGCAAGTCTGGCGCCTGTCACAGCAATCCAAATGTAGCGAAATCCTCGAAAGAGAGTGAGTTCGTTTTCGCAATCCCAGCCATGTTCCCGAAAGCCGCCGCCGTTGGGGTCTGTCGTCGCTGTCAATCCAGAATATTCTTATGAGTCGAGCTGTCATGATGACAACAAATCAACCCCCAACTCAGCATGAGTTCGCGCTTATCGAGACGCGCACGGCTCCCAGGACGCTTGCGCACCAGTCTGGGGCTAGAGATGCTCGAATCAAAACAGCTTGTGCAGAATGCAAGCGACGGAAAACCAAGTGTGACGGCACGCACCCATGTTATTCTTGTCGATGGTATAAGCAGCCTGAGAGATGCATCTATACCTTCTCGCGACCCGCACTTGTTCTCAGTCGAAAGTGAGTTTCCAGCTGAAGCACTCATCATGCGCACTGTACAGTTCGAGTAACTGAAACAAGGAACTTCGAGTCCGTTCGCCAACGCCTGGAGACCACGACCGACATTCTAGCAAAGCTGTTCCCGTCTCCGTCAGTTGACACTCTCAGTGGTCTTTCTCGCGAAGAATTACTCCAGCGAATTGGCTTTTCATTCGAGACGATATCCCAGGAGACACCCAATCGAGGCGGTCTTAACATCAATAGCCTAACACCTGCCGAGGCCAGGTCACAAGATGGCCGCGACGACCTAATAGACCCAGATGACATGATTACCAGTGGTGGCCTAGAGCCCCAGCAACAGGACGATGCACCTTCTGAAGGTGGTGATGACGTGAACGCCCTCTCTGCAACATCCATCCAGCCTTCATCCTACGTCGGCCCATCCTCGACAATGCAAATGTTCCGCACGATACTCAGGATTGCACCAGAGTCGGTAGGCCAGCAACAACCCACCCAAAGTCCGGCAACCAGTCAACGAAGTGCGTCGTATCGGTCTCCCGAGGTCAGCCATAAGACACCGCCATCCTTGCAAATGACTGAGAGAATTGGAGCTTTAATCGATGCCTATTTCCATTGGATCAACCCGGCCACTCCAATTCTTGATCAGGCTGAATTTCGGAAGGCTGCCTCTGCTGGGACGCGGAACGACCCTCCATGGCTTTGTCTTTTCAACATGGTGCTCGCACTGGGCTCCATTGGTAGCACGAGAACCGACTCTAGAGAACACCTCAGCTATTATCATGCTGCGAAATCACATTTAGACATAGAAGGCCTTGGAAACAAAAATCTCGAAACACTGCAGGCTTTGATTCTCATGGCTGGTTGGTATAATCATTACCGCAATCGACCAAATCTTGCGTCTGCGCTTCTCGGAGCAGCGTTTCGCATGGCGTACGCCCTGGGTCTCCACAAAGAGCAGCCCAGCAGCAACCAATCTGTTGAGAATCAAGAACTGAGGCGGAAGATCTGGTGGAACCTTGTCGTCTTGGATGCGGCCGAAGCTGTCACACTAGGTCGCACATTGGACACCAAAATATTTGAAAGCGAAGTCAAATATCCCCAAGAGATCGCGCAAGATGTAAGTACTTGGCTCTCCTTCAAAGGGAGTCTTTTCCAAAATTGGTCATCACTTGTCACACGTACTGATTGACTCAATAACCGACAGATGAGTGATACTGAAGAAGGCCCATCTCCTTCCTCTACCTTGGTCATTACCATTGGCTTCTCGCGTATCATGACAGAGATCCAAAGCCGGTTGATGACATCAAACACAGTGCCCTTTTCCGAATTACTCAGCCTTGACGCACACCTCGTCGATTGGTACGAAGCTTTACCTTCCTACTTCCACAAACTGGTGGGAATGGGCATCTCTGCTGTATCGGACTCGTCCGACTCGAGACGTTTTGTACAGCCATGTCTAACTATCAGGTGGCGATATCTCAATCTCAGGATGTTGTTGTATCGACCAAGCCTAATGGAGGCCGTCCTCCACAGAATCCCTTTTGGCGGGCTTACATCTGATCAGCGATTGTGCGTCCGAAAGTGTCTAACCCTATCTGGAGAAACCATCGATTCCGTGAAGACTAGGTCGTCGGAACTCCCAAACCAATATATTGCCTGGCCGTCGACTTGGTACTTGTTGCAAATCTGTATGGTTCCACTTCTCAGTTTGTACGTATTTCGCGAGGATGTCAACGACCAAGCTTCACAGGCCGACCCTGCTCACCATTTGGGGTTCAGACATACCGGGAGCGTCAAAGACCAGGTCCGACAAATTCGGGATGAATGCCATAGGCAAGTTCAAACCACGCTGCGTTTGATGAAAGAGATGGAGCCGTGGGCAGTTGCATCTGGCAAAATGCACGACTTGATCACCCATCTGTACGAAGCAAGAGATCAACACTTGCGTGTCTGGAACAACAATGACGAGAGCCCTATGATCGTGTTGGGATCTCCAGCAAATTCATCCATGCCATCATCGGACGCGACGAATGCAAGAGCGCTGCAAGCCGACCGTGCAAACATGAGCCTCAGCGCAAATCTGAGAACCGTCAATCCCTTGCAGCCCGAAGGGATTGTAGTTCCGTCAAGCGGCATAAATCCAGCCGTCAGCATGACCCAGTATAGCATTGGCGTGCACAATAACAATGCTCCTCTCAACCCGTCCGAACAATTCACCAGAGACTTTTCGATATACAACAGCTTCGCATGGCCGAATGCGACACTGGAAAGCCTGTTCGACTTGCCGGATGATTTTCAGTACATGAACCAAGGTATGTTCGGCTTGGGATGATGTACGCTGTATCTTCTCTACGGACAATGAGACCAGGATGGCGCTCTGGATACATTACTTATTCAGGACAAACGGCGATCTGCTCAAAGGTCACTAGGCACCTCCACGTCAGAGGTTGCCAGTATGAGCCTCGGAAATGAGCGTTCGTCCTTCACACTACGACAAAAGTCATGTTCTGAGACGGAAGTATCAAACCTCTCCAGTGGTACATGCCTCTCAGTACTAGGACCCTCTATTACCTCGAGATAGCAAGGAGTCGAATGGCCTCAGCACTAGGCCTGGCCCGGGGGTGATTGGGATCAGGCTTGGGCTGCGGGGGCCTTGCCAATCATTTGGGCTCCTTCGTAACGCAGACGATTTGAAGGTGGTAAATTGGTAAGATCGGTTCCCGTCTGCGATATGATCCTTGCTGACGGGCGTGAGCTCAGCACCCGGATAGTGACCCACGGGTGCCATCTGGGACGAAACAAGGACGGTGTTGATTCCGATGTTCAATCTTGATCGCGGACAACCCCCGACGCTCCATCGCAATTGGTGTTGACCTCGTAAAAATGTGCAGGGTAATTAAATCTAGCCCATTCACTTTTCACAACGTTGGAATCTGTCTCGCTCGAATCGCAGGGACATATAGTGATATAGCGGTGGCGGGCAACCTCAAGGAATCATGGTCGGCGCCTGTCGAGCAAGTTCTCGTCTGATCGCGTACGAGACCGAGCCTTGGGAGCAAGCCTCATTTAGTCGATGAAGTTCGAGGCTTGTCGTTCTCGAGGGTGATGACTTGTTCTCAGAGATTTCGCCACCCAAGTACGTCTGGGATTGTTATGTTCTATTGATGCCGGGAGTGGAAGACGGCATGTACACTGATCTGGGGAGATATCACATCAATACAGGTCATGACTGCTGAGATGGATCCCCATAATAAGACGTCGAACATGAGATCCAGTTGTAGTTGGTAGTCCATCCACCGGCTCCACATAACCTTGTCGGATCGATTGCCGACATTCCCGGGCTATCCCCAGTACTGCCTTTACATAACCACATCCGACTCACAGTATGCGGCAGGACATCTTCCCTCGATGTTAAGTGAACGATAGATGTGTCAGGAGATCTGAGCTCTTCTGGGAAGACAATACTCAACAAGACCCTACACCGGAGTTTCTAACCTAGCAGCTGGTTTACTCTTACGCGATCTAAGTGTTGGACTGCGGTTGGCACAACAAAAGCAGTATTGGAAGGGGACCAGAGACACCAAATCATCAAATCACCATGGGAGACGCGACAAGTTCCTCGAGCAGCGGGAACACTCTCGTGCTAGAAGGACGACCCGAGTCCGAATTCACACCCATTCTCCACACACGGAAACAGGCCCGGCTGATATGTCTGGAAGAGCACGCGGTGTCCCCATTCCCCACGCCCGCCATCTCGTCCACCTTCGGGACATTCAAGCCCTCGTACGTGGCCGGGCTTAAAGACCGGCTGGGGGATATTGCGCTGCGGGTCAAGATCATGGACGCCAACAACATCGGCGCGCAGATCATCTCCATGAACCAGCCCACGGCGCAGGCGTTTGTGGACCTGGACGAGCAGCTCGAGTGGTGCCGGATGTCGAACCAGTTCGTCTACGAGAACTACTGCCAGAAATACCCGAGCCGGTTCTTCGCCTTTGCGACGCTACCGACGCAGAGCGGCGAGGCGGCTGCGACGGAGCTGGAGCGCTGCGTGAGCGAGTACGGCTTTGTCGGGGCCATGATCAACGGCTTCACCAACACCTCGGATCCGGCCAAAGGACTGTACCTCGATCACCCGCAGTTCGAGAAGCTCTGGGAGGTCTCTGAGCGGTTGCAGAAGCCTATCTTCATCCATCCCCGCGTGCCGCTCGCTAGCAATATCAAGGTGCTGGAGGATATGCCGATCTTCCACGGCGCCCCATATGGCTTTGCGAGGGAGACGGTCGAGCACGTCCTGAGGTTGATGTATAGTGGGGTGTTTGACCGGTTTCCGAAGTTGAAGATCTGTTTAGGTCATATGGGCGAAGGGTTATCTTGGATCCTGCCGAGGACGGATACCACCTTCCGTCTTTATACTGCTGGTAAGTGCTGTGGTGTGCATCCCTCTTTTCGACCACGTATCCGGGAGACCGATGGCACGAATACTCCCACCCCTCGCGCCCATGTAGCTCTCTTTCCGCCCTGAGGTGTGACTGACTTGTCCTACAGAGGCGCAAGGTCCGAAGAAGAAGCGATTCCAAGACTATTTCCAGCAGAACATCCTCCCCAACACCAGCGGGATGCCCAGGACGGCGGCCCTCATGAACCTGATGGCCGAGTCGAGGGTCGAGAATATCATGTTTGCCGTGGACTACCCCTACGAGTCAATCGCCGAGATGAGAGCCTGGTTCGAGACGGTGCCTATATCGGACGAGAACTGGAGGGATATTGGGTATCGTAATGCCATCAGGCTGTTTGGACTGCCTCTTGATTATGATTAGCGGTGGAGTGCGCGTGGTTAGATAAGATAATGTCTCTGGCACTTGCCGCTGAACCTGTTTGATGGCGTGACACGAAGCGTCTGCTGACACGTCGGTTCAAGACTCCCCGTGGGGAATTGCACCATAGACAACATAAGAGTACAAGTAGACCTTTAGGATAGCTGGTCAACTCGCGTCTGCTACATTTTGGATGATCCGGAGAAGTTGGATGATTGTAACCGCTGCAAACGAACGAATCGCATGTGTTTCTGGAGGTGTCATTAATAGTCTCCCTCATATTCCACGAGGCTCCTGTATCCCGTGTACACGGTGGCCTGTGGCGTCTGAAATATATAGCGAGAGGCTGGCTGTCCCAACCCAAGGCATCGCACGTAGCGAGGGGGTCGATGCAATGGGTTGGCCGGTGCAACAATTATCCGGAGGGAGTACAGCCTCGCGAGGACAACGAAGGTTCAAAAGGCTGTGGCCAGTACTCCGATGCTTTGGTTCTGTCAGATGCCTTGTTAGTCAGATGACCTATCTTCCTTCTGGTGAAGTGGACAGGCATTTGCAAGCAGAGATGACCGAGCATCGCGTTCACTCCATCTTGGTGAGTGAGTGTTGGGAAAGCTCGAGGAGGCGAGGAGGCGAGGAGGCGAGCTCAACGGATGCCGGCTTGTTTGCAAGTGACTCACAACGGACAGGACAGATCAAGAGGCTTGGGCACGAAACCAGCTGGAAAACTGTGCGTCCAATCCTGCTTGCCTAGGTGGGTAAGAGTGGTGTTGATTTGCTCTGATTATCTGAAGGCAAGTCGAGTGAGGCAGCATTGGGCGACTCGACATATTGGCACATGACCAGGACGTGTTCGAGGAGAGAAGCAATGCCGAGCCGAGAGGGGCCAAGCCTGACATGTTGCGTTGTGAAGAAGCTGCCTGGGCAGACTCGGTCCCTTCAGTCTGGCTCCTGGTGGTCACGGCAGCTGTACCTCGTAGTGAGTGGCGTGGGCGGAGAGGCACCTGGAAAGGCGTGACACCCAGGCCACTAGCTCCTAAACCTTAACTGGAGTTCACGCAGCTTCAGGCACCGGCCCGCACCTTTAAGCTTAGCTCAAGCCACACCATTACCAAGCACCCCTTCTACTTGGTATGCCCTCCACTACAGCGGCACCGGCCGGCTAGTTAAAGGTTCTGGACCCTCCAACCCCTGCGCCCCTGGCACCCGAAGGCCCTTGTCTGCAGATCGCCAGGTACCAGTATGTGCGATAGTTACCAATGATCCAGGTCCTGACCTCACATGGGCATCATGGGCGTCATGGAGAGCATCTGGTCCCGTTGCAATTTTCCCTCATCGTCTCCTTTTTACGAATCAACTCTTCTTCACCACTGTAGCCACCCAACAGCACAGATGTCCTGTCACATGGGCAAACATAGACAAACATTTGCTGGCCCAACAAAATCTTCGCGATAGCCCACAGCTTCCAGCAATGCGCCCTATCAGCAATGCAGGGCCCTTAAGCGAGCCGTTAATCCTCCGCGACGTGTCCTCCCCTCGCTCTACCGCTTCTTCGTTTGTACCTTTTGCTGCCCGATGAACCCACAATGGCCGACTCGATTCCAGTTGCTACAGACCAGAAGACTGTCACGCTACCTAATCACAGGTTTGCCAAAACGGGGACACTACGGTCTTGTTCAAGTACCTCACCGGCCCTCACGTCGAGAGAGTTCTCTCATCTCCATATTCGCTTAAAAGGTTCCCGCACATGCAGACACCGGATACGCAGACGTGAAACACTCCCAGCGTCACCGCCTCTTCGTCGAAAACCTTCTCCACCGCACAGTACTTAGTTACACTGCAGCACCACCCCTTCCACTACTCTCGACACAATGGCATCCGAGAAACGTTTACGACGACTATCCCAGACGAGAGCCCGGCCTCCAACAGGCACCAAACGGTCCTCGAGCTTGCGAAGGGTATACAACCGCTTCTTTCACCCGGAATCACCGCTCCCAGAATCCGAACAAGGGTCCCCGGTCATACCAGACTCAACACAACCTCCCCTGTCAGAGATTGAAGTCCTGCAGGGTGAACTGCAACAATGTCGCCAGAATCTCGAGGAGGCGAGGGAGATGGTCATGTCCCAGGACCACGAGCTGTCAAATTTGGAGAAAAACACACAGAAAATGGAGAGACGCTACAAGGAAAAAGAGGCTGCTCTACGGCGGCTGAAAGCCTCGCTGGAGGAGACAATGGTGGCTGTCGTTGTGCAGCAGATCAGAGATGCTCAGAAAGCCGAACGGGATCTCGTCAAGGAAGAGTGCATCCGTGAGCACCAGGCGGCTTTGGACAACGTCCACCATAAATACAGATCAAGAGTCGCCATTCTGTCGCAAGAGCTCTCAGACTCCCGCACTGCAAATGAGCGAACGAAGGCAGCTTACGAAAACGAGGTCACAGCACTTCGCGTCGAACTCGCCTCCCTGACCACCGACCTCGAGGCCGCAAAGACAGCCATTGTCGAGACCACCGAGTCACTTAAAGGGGTCCAACTAGCCTCGACGACCGCCCTGGAAGAAACAGAGAAAGCAAACGCAACCTTGAGAGAAGAGCTCGAAGCCCAGATTGCTTCTCTGACCGAGGAATTGAATGCTGCCCATTCGGGGTTGCAGAGTGCCGAGTTGAGCATTGATGATCATACCAAGCGATACGAGGACCTTCAAAACACCTCCTCACGAGCAATAGAAGATGCAAATGCATCCCTGGCATCAGTCCGCGCTTCGTTGGAGGCTCAACTTGAAGCACACGCCGCAGAGCTCTCGACGACTAAAGACGCCCTTGAAACCTCGTCCCGGGACAGGGAAGCGGACCAATCCGCACATCAGATGGTCTTGGATGAGCTCACTGGAGCCCGCAGCCAGATTGCTGACCTCACAAACGACCTCCAAGATCATTCGACAACGAAGACCGCCCTTGAAGAAAAGGTTGCGCAGCTCCTGGTTGATCTCGAAGCGTTCGAGGCTTGCAAACAAGACCTCGAAGGCTCTCAGGCCCGGGTCGCGGATTTGACGACAGAACTATCTTCATCGCATGTCGCACGAGAGAGTGCAGAGGCGCAGGTAGCTCAACTATCCGCCGAACTCGACGAATACGCTCAACTCAAAGCAGAGCATGAGACTCAGACACAGGAACTCGAGAGCGCCAATGCCAAGGTTGCGGATCTGACAACCGAGCTTGAAGCCTTCGACGCCTGCAAACAAAACTTGGCAGAAGCAGAATCAAAAATTGGACAGCTTGCTGCCGAGCTTGAAGATCATGAACAGCTCAAAACGGAACATGAATCGTGCAAGCAGGAACTTGAGGACATCCAATCCAAGGTTGCAGAGCTTTCAACCGAGCTGGAAGTCCTCCAAAATTGCAAGACAGACCTCGAGGAAGCCGAGTCGAAGATTGGTCATTTGACCGCTGGACTTGAGGACCATGAACAGCTGAAAGCGGACCACGAGGCTTCCAAGCAAGAGTTGATGAACACGCAAGCCAAGCTCGCCGAGTTGCAAAGCGAAATGGACGGAACCAAAGACGCCTTTGCTGAGGCTGAGTCAAAGATTGCTCAACTCACAGCAGAGCTCGAGGGTTACGCACAGCTCAAAGAGGATCACGAGAATGAAAAGGAACGTTCTGCCAGCCTTCTCACAGACATCGATCGCCACGTTGCCGCTGTGACGGAGGCAGAAGGAAGACACAAAGAAGCAGAGGCCCGTGCTGTTGATGCCGAAGAGAAACATGCCGCCGCACTCAAGGATCTGGATCAACACGCGGCCGCCGTGGCGGAAGCAGAAGAAAAACAGAAAGAAGCTGAAACGAGAGCCACGGAGGCCGAAGAGAAGCATGCAGCCATACTCCAGGAGCTCGAACAGCATAAAACAGCCGCGACCGATGCAGAAGCACGTGCTGCCGAAGCAGAAGAGAAGCATGCCTCCGTAGTCGAGGAGCTTGAACAACACAAGACCGCCGCAGCTGAGGCGGAAACACGCGCTGCCGAAGCGGAAGAGAAGCATGCCTCCGTAGTCGAGGAGCTTGAACAACACAAGACCGCCGCAGCTGAGGCGGAAACACGCGCTGCCGAAGCGGAAGAGAAGCATGCCTCCGTAGTCGAGGAGCTTGAACAACACAAGACCGCCGCAGCTGAGGCGGAAACACGCGCTGTCGACGCAGAAGAGAAACATACCTCAGCACTAGAGGAGCTGGAAGGGCACAAGGCGGCTGCAGCCGAAGCGGCAGAAAAGCTGAAAGAAGCTGAAGAGCGCGTCACTGAAGCAGAAGAGAAGCACGCCAACGCGCTGCAAGACCTGGATCACCATAAGACTGCCGCGACAGAGGCCGAAGAGAAGCAGAAGGAAGCAGAAGCTCGTGCTGCTGAGGCGGAAGATCTGCATAAATCTGTCCTTGCCGAGGTTGATGCGTTGAAAGACAGCCTTGCATCAGAGACTGCGAACCATACAGCAACAAAGGAGCAGAACGAGCAACTCACGAAGGATCTCGAAGACGCTTCCGCTTCTCATGGTGCCACGCAAACCTCCCTGGACGAGGCATTGGAAAATATAGCCGCCTTGAAGGAGCAGATACAATCACTTGAGTCTGAGGTTGCTTCCATTACAGCGTCGAAGCAGGCCGATGCAGAACAATTCGAGTCACAGCAAGCCAAACATGCTGAAGAGCTAGCAACCGCCAAGGAGGAGCTTTCGAATTCCGAGGCAGAAAAGGCTAAACTGGCTGAAGATATCGATACTGCTGACGCAGCTAAGAAAGAGCTCGAGGAGAAAGTTGAAGGTCTCGAAGCGGAGAGTTCCAGGCTTTCTACCGAGCTCTCAGAGGCACAAGCTAGCCAACAATCTGCCGAAGAAAAGCACACCGCCCTCGAAGCCGAGCTCAAGGCACTTCAGGACGCCAATGCCGAGTTAACACTTAAAAGCCAGAAGGCTGAAGAAGCAGAGGCCGCTCAGCACGCTGCAGAAGAGAAACTGGCTGCTTTGGAAGAACAACTGAAGTCGCTTCAAGACAGCAACGAAGAGTTGGTCGAGAAAGCAAAAAAGCTGGAGGAAATGGAGGCTGAACACCACACCATCCAAGAGAAATCTGCTGCCCTCGAGGCGCAGGTGCAATCAGTCCAGGAGACCAATGACGAGTTGACAAAGAAACTCGCGGACGCAGAAAGTGCCAAAGCGGCCGCGGAGACTGAGGTGGAAAAATTACAAGGAGAGCATGCGTCAACCGTGGACGGACTTCAACAGGAACTTGCCTCGACCAAGGAAGCCTCCGAAAAGGCAAAGGAAGAGGCGGCAGCGTCTCTGGCGGGACTCGAAGCAAAACTGGCTGCGTCTGAGGCTTCTCACCAGGAAGCTCAGGAATCGCTAGAAAAGGTTCGTGCAGATGCAGACCAATCCAAGTCTGAAATGGATGAGAAGCTCGCCGAGGCAGAGAATGCCCTGAAAGCTGCTCAAGAGGCACTTTCAAAAGCACAAGCTGACACCGATGCCATAACCAGTGATTTTGAGCAGAAACTGGCCGATGCGCAGGCGAACCAGAGCGCTGCTGAAGAGGAGGCGGCCAAGGCAAGAGAAGAGCTTGAAGCTAAGCTTGCCTCAGCCTTAGCCGAACAGCAATCTGCCGAGGGCGCACTTGAAGAAATTAAGAAGGAACTCGAGACCGCCGAAGAGGCCAAAGCTTCTCTTGAATCGAAGTTGGGAGAGGCGGAAAGCGCCACAGCCGCAGCTGAGCAACGCGTTACAGAAACCGAGGCAGCCAAAGCTGAGGTGGAGGGCAAGGTGAAACAGGCCGAGGACGACAAGGTCAATTTTGAGCAAGAGCTTCAGGCAGTGAGAGACAAGCTGGCGGAAATTCAGGGTGAACTTGAGTCGACTCAGCAGGAGAAGCTCAATATTACCGAGCAGTCATCGAAAGATCTCGAGTCCAAAGAAGCCGAACTTGGCGCTGTTCTGACCTCCAAGTCGGAGCTCGAAGCTCGGCTCCACGAGACAGAGGCGAATCTGGAAGCTGCCAAGAAAGCTGAGGATGAGTCGAATGCTCACTTGAAAGAGCTCGAAGCTGAGCTCGAATCCCTCAAGGGACAAGCGACCGACGTCAGCAAAATGTCTGAAGATTTGGAAGCTAAAGAGCAGGCTATACAAGCATTGACCGCCAGCAAGGATGAAGTCGAGGATCGGCTGAAGGACGCGGAGGCCAAGCTTGCCTCCTTGCAACAAGAGATCGACACGCTGAAAACATCGTCGGAGACGTCGAGGGAAGAAGCCGCCAAGCAACTCGAGACGCGGGAGCAAGAATTCAAGCAACAGTCGGAACAAGCTGCTCAGGAGCTCGAAACACTCCAAGCTGAGTTGAAGTCCAAGGAAGACGCGATTGCAGATCTCAGAGCTCTAAAGGAGAAGATGGAGGAAGAGATGGGATCATTATCGTCTCCTCCGACATCGCCTGATCCCGAAGCCATTGAGGACAAGACATCCACTGTTGCCACGGTGAATGGCGGACGTGGAAAGAAGAGTCGAAGGAGGAAGTCCAAAGCCAAGGCGGCTGATGACAGCGATGCTGCTAAAGGAGATGCGGATGACGAGTGACGATGAAATGACCTGGTTGTGGATGATGAACGACGGATGGGACCATGGGTGATGTAGAGCATGTTGATGACGATGGGCGTCGGGAAGGTTATCACACTAATGGACTTGGAGAGCTGGTCTGGATGAGTAAGGGTGCATTGGTCTATGTGTTTTGCATGATAACATAGTGCGATGGAGCAGGCGGCCACCTTCATGAGCTTGGAGCATATGGACGACATGCAGGATGGACACGGATGCGGATGGAGTTAACTGCTTGGGTATGTTTGTGAAATGAGAACCAATGATCCGCCGGACTACGCTTGGGCACCTCAATGCTCCGCCGAACTGCGCTTCCCCAAAGATGACATCAGAAAAATCTCCCTCTTGGTGCCTCCGCATCATTTGTCAATCGCCCAATTTGCCGTCAAGATGACGATGCGGCAAGCGACCAATATTTCAAATTATCAGACGTCTCAAGTTCTCATCAATATATTCGTCCTCACCATCTTCCTTGCCGCCTTCTGCATGCTCCTCCGACGCATTTCTCGTCTGTCTCGTCCAAAAGTGTCTCGACCATATCAGAACCCCGCTCCGGTTTCGCGGATGAGACTCGCCCAGATGTCCTCCCATATTTCCAATGGCCATAGCAATGGTTCGCAGTCAAACGGCCATTCCGATGCTACGGCGGCGCTAGCAGATATACCGAAATCCAACACTTTCACCTCGAAACTCCCTCCCGACCCTCAATATCCCACGCCGGCCGACTCTCATAAAGCCCCTCGACAGAAGCTGGGCCCCCGCATGGTGCGAGGGGCGCTGTACACGTTTGTCAGGCCTGAGCCCACCGAAGAACCTGAACTGCTAGCGGTCAGCAAAGCCGCGCTCCGCGATATCGGTCTCGCCGAAAGTGAAGCGTCGTCTGAAGAATTCAAGGAGGTTGTCGCCGGCAATAAGTTGTACTGGGATGAAGAGAAGGGTGGAATATATCCCTGGGCGCAGTGCTACGGCGGCTTCCAGTTTGGCTCATGGGCTGGTCAACTAGGTGATGGTCGCGCTATCTCGCTATTTGAGACGACCAACCCAAAGACAAAAGTCCGTTACGAACTGCAATTGAAGGGCGCAGGCAAGACACCCTACTCGCGTTTTGCCGACGGCAAGGCCGTTTTGAGATCGAGTATCAGAGAGTTTATTGTGTCCGAGTATCTCAATGCCATCGGCATACCTACCACTAGAGCACTGTCATTGACACTGTGTCCGAAGTCCGAGGTCGTCAGGGAACGCCTTGAACCTGGCGCGATTGTCTGCCGTTTTGCTCAAACATGGCTGAGACTAGGCACATTTGACCTCCTGCGATCCAGAGGCGACCGCGACTTGATTCGCAAGGTCGCTACCTATATTGCTGAAGACGTCTTTGGCGGCTGGGGGAATCTTCCCGCCGCCCTGCCAGTTGACACCCCAGATGCTTATCTCGACCCGGCCAGAGGCGTCTCCAAAGACGAAATTCAAGGGAAAGAAGGCGCCGAAGAGAATCGCTTTGCTAGAGTCTATCGGGAAATTGTCCGAAGAAACGCCAAGCTCGTGGGAATGATGCAGGCGTACGGCTTCATGAACGGAGTGCTCAACACCGATAACACTTCGATCTATGGCCTATCGCTCGATTACGGTCCGTTTGCGTTTATGGACAACTTTGATCCTGCATACACACCCAACCACGACGATCATATGCTGAGATACAGCTATCGCGCACAGCCGAGCATTTTCTGGTGGAACCTCGTTCGTCTAGGTGAAGCCATCGGCGAATTAATTGGTGCCGGAGATAAAGTTGACGACGAAGAATTCGTGGAAAAAGGGGTGCATGAAGACTTTGCACCCGTCCTCATCAAGCGCGCGGAGACGATTATTGACCAGATCTCGGACGAATACAAGGCCGTCTTCCTGAGCGAGTATCGCAGTCTGATGACGTTGCGACTGGGGTTGAAGACCCAAAAGGAGAGTGATTTTGAAAAGCTGCTCTCCGAACTGCTCGACACAATGGAAGCGCTGGAGCTTGACTTCAACCACTTTTTCCGTCGTCTCTCCTCGGTGAAAGTGGACGACGTCAGCACAAAAGAAAAACGCGAAAATACAGCCGAGAGATTCTTCCACCGGGAAGGCGTTACCGGTCTAAACGAATCCAACGACTCTGGCCGCGAAAAAGTCGGCAAATGGCTCGACTCATGGCGTGAGCGGGTGGTTGAGGATTGGGACATCACCGATGAGACCACGGCCTCTGCAGCAGATGAGGAACGAGAGAAGCTTATGAAGAGCGTCAATCCCAACTTCGTGCCCAGAGGTTGGTTACTAGATGACATTATCGACCGAGTACAGAACAAGAAGGAACGAGATATCCTGAAGGGAGTTATGGAGATGACCCTGGCTCCATTCGAAGATGGGTGGAGCTGGAATGAGGAAATCGAGAAGAAGTATTGTGGGGATGTGCCTAGATTTCAGAGGGCTATCCAGTGCAGTTGCTCGTCATAAACTAGACGTACTTCAGGTAAGTACTTCTCTTATATTGCCGGTGGTCCGGTGCCGGACTGTGGCATCTTTAATGGTATACGGGTGCTGAGGTATATTAAAATTCTGAAGATAATTTTACTCTTGTTCCTGCCCTCGCTCCGACTCAACATACTTGATTCTTTATATTTGCGTCGATAGGATGATTCGACGACATAAGAGCTTCGTGCAACTAGACTCGATTCATCCATGTATTCCATCTACCGTATGATATGTAGAGGGCGACCTAGCCAATTAGAGAGGGCGCCAAACCTTAACCCAGCCGAGTGCGGCTGAGCGTCACGGAGCATATCACGAACACCTCAGCCTGATGGCAGTTCTTGCCTTGTTCTCATCCGTCCGTCCTTACTCTGCAGAAGAGTATAGCACTTTCCAGCACTTTCCAGCACTCCAGCTGGAAGGAATCATGCAGTCCATCTACTCGGTCCCAGATCCGCTGCCTCCCAGAGGCAGCTTGATCCCTGCCGCGCAGACGGCAACCTCTGTCAACGTCAGACCGGCCTGGACGGCGCAGCCTGTCGATGCGGCAGCAATCGATCAGCCAGGAGTGGGTGCTCAGACCTCCAATGTAGTTCCTCGCGCCCCTCTATCGTACCCTGAACTCGTGTCTGGCTGTGGAGAGGCTGCAGAGTCGGTGATGTACAAGTACGTGCTAAAACCTTCAAGGAGAGATTTGGCCTCACAGGAGCAGCAACGCTACCGACCTCGACGCGGCTAGCTGGAGTAAAGTCCTACAGATTAACCAGCTGCTACATGGCTTCCAGATCCGTCAAGAGAACCAAGATGTTGTTCGCGCTCGTCAGAACGCGTTCGATCTTCGTATTCAGCCAGGTAATACACGTGACACTCAAATGCCTTGCTTCCAGGTAGAGGATGGCACATTGGTCGAGGTCTACGGAACTCAGAACGACCTGCAACGCTCCCTGGCCCGCAATGCATTCTCCAAGCGATGCATCGAGACTAATCTATCAGCCGGTAACTTCCTTGGACCAGTATTTAGCCGAGAAGGTGAAAAGACGAAGATGAACGATATTTGGATCCAATCACAAGATCAGGAGTACCACGCTGCCTATATTTACCCTCGTGCAAGGATCATCTTGGACGAGGATGAATTGCAGGTGTCCAAAGTCTGTGCCATAGAGCTTGACAATCTTCGGCTAGAACCATCCTTCGCCGCACTTCAAAGGTTCTACAAACGCTTCGGCCACGTCTTCGTGACATCTGTGCTGCTCGGTGGACAGCAGACGACGACAAAATTTGCTGGCGCTGTGGACGGGCAGAACAATGCAGAGAAACAAGATGCAATACGATGGGCTGTCGGGGCCAAGGTCAATGCACCTTATGCTGCTATTGGTTTTCAGTACCCAAGAAAGAAAGGCACAGAAGACGCTTCAGCTGAAAAGGACTATGTGAACTTGCCATATCTAGCATTGAGTGCTACTGGAGGCAATACCCTTATCGGATCTGACATTCCGAGGTGGGCGCCAACAATCGCTTCCTTCAAGAATTGGCGTGTTGTCAAGAATGAGATCGCACTCCCTATCCAGAAGGTTATCGGTGCCATCCGGGGTTGGGAACATGTACCGGAAATGTTCTGGGAGATACGCGAGTCTCGACCCCTGCCGTCTTGGGTCGAATTTTAGGGCATGACGATGTACCGGAGGTGGTTCATTTCCCTGTGCTGGCCGGTGCACTGCTCTCGGAGGCCAAATCTCTCATGGCCAGTTATGACGCCAATTTGATACCAGCCGACCAGAGAGCGGTCTTCGAGAAGTGCGGCGTTATTTACTGGCGGGGCTTTTTTCTCGATTATCAAGCCGAACTCGAGCCAGGGAAACAGGCAAGAGCTGTCCTGTCTGTTGCCGGAAATCCACAGATTTGCGATGAAAGTGCCACAGCATTTTCGATCATGTTTGAATAGTTAGTCTGTGGCTCTAGGCTGCAAGAAATCCGCCAAATGGGACCTCATATTTCGCAACTGTCTATGTACTTCGCGGTTTATTGTCCTCGTTTCTTACAAAACGCCCAAGTTCAGCCTTGCCAGTCATCTGGCCAAGACCTCCCGCCGCATTTGGAAAAGAGGGCCTCCGCAAAGGCTGGTATCGTTGGAGTTAGACAAATGATCCCTAGATTTCGGATTTCTTCTTGTGGTGCTGCCGTCTTTGGACTTGACAGTGGACACTGTGCTGCATTGTGCCGTCAAGTCTAGGAATCATCTTTCCCATTGAACTAATTTTTATTATTGACTAGCCTTCACTACGCAAAATATCGCATTCTAGGAGGATACTTCGATACTCAAAATTGTAGACCTTTCTCTATAGAGCTGGTTGCTTTTTAGAAGCCATAGTCCGAAGTTCTCTCCTCGTTCGTGCGGGTAGAAGTAGGACAACTGCTACTTATTGTCATGATAGTTGCCTTCTCTGGAAGAAACGTCCGGATTCCCGGAATTGCAATACCAGACCCTCTTCAGCCTCCATATTGGAAAGACGCGTCACGTTGGCGATGACAGGCCTCAATTTAGATGGAATAAGAGAGACCCAGATCCTTCGCAATGAGAGACGCGGCCTTATGGCCCACCGTCAGCGCTGTCGCATATGTGTTGGCGGAGACATTGGACGGGCAAATCGACAGGTCTGTGCAAGGGTTTGATTAGTTTGCAGCACACATCCAACGATAAGAGCATACGAGGTACTCACCCACAACCTTCAATCCCTGGACGCCGAAGACGTTCAATCTCGCATCCACGACCCCGCCTTGCTCTTTGGGTTTCATGGCACACGTTCCCATGCTGTGCCACGCGGTGCTGACGTTCTGCCTGATAAACAGCTCGATCGCCTGGTCATCTCGCTCGGAGTACTCGATTGGCACGCAGAGCCCGCCCTTCCGGTCCTGCTCGTCCACAAAGTCGAACCCGGCCTTGGACTTGTCAGGGAAGACGGGGTGTCCGACTTCTAGCGCACCACGATAATGCCTCATGCGTCGCGCGATCTCCCTCTGCTTCTTGTACCCCCATATGAGTTTCTGAACGTCGGCCGGGTGGCCGAGGAAGCCGCAGTCAAAGTCAGGCGGATCGGAAACCGCGGGGCCCGTGATATGTATCGAACCGCGCGAGTAGGGATACGGCGTGTAAGGACCTAGACTGAAGTGTTGGCCGGGGGGGATGGCGGTGTGATCTCCGACGAATGCGGCCAGGGAGGACATGAGCATTAGGGGCCGCGTCGGGCGTGGTCGGTAGTCGCGCTCCCACAGCTCCCTGAGTTCGGGCCCCAGGAGCGCTTCGTCGCTCGGCGTAGGTCGGATTTTGCCCACGCAGTCGAGGCCGTTCCATCCCAGCACGTAACGGGTGGACTGCGCTTTCTTCTGCTCGAGCGCCTTTTCAAGCGTGAGGCGGCCGCTGAGGATGCCGTCCATTGTTTCTGATGGGCCCGCGGTGGATTTGTACGGGTAGAAGATCACATGGTGGTCTTGATAGTTCTGGCCCACGCCTGGCAGGTCCGAGACGACGTCAATGCCGAGCCTGGAGAGTCGATGAGCATCCCCGACCCCGGAGCGTTGAAGGATTTGCGGAGTGCCGAACGTCCCACCGGCAAGGACGACGAGCTTTCTGGCGTTGATAACGAAGGGCTTTGCGTGAGGGTCCGGTCCGGCTGGGAGATATTCGATACCGGTGGCCCTTTTCTGCTCGTTGAACAGGACCCGTACGACCTTGATCTCAGTGAACACGGACAGCTTGGTCTGGTGCGTGTCCAGGAGCGGGTAGAGAAGTCGATGAGCCACGTCCTGTCTCCGACCGGTCTTCTGATCTATCCACATGTTCCACCGCTAGACTTGCAATCAGCGCGGTGGTTCACCAGAATATGGGGGAGGATGTGCACTCACGCCGACGGCGTGTGATGTCTTCAAATCTTGGACATCGGGCACTGTTGGAATCCCAATCTGTCGGCACGCCTGGAAATAGTCTTCCTGGAAGGAGGCTTGAGCGTTTGTGCCGGGAGATATGCTGAACTCGCCGCCATACCCGTGCAGAGACTTGTCGACACCAGGATCATTGTCCTGGAAGTTTTCATACTGACCAAGTAGAAGGGGAAGTGGTGTTAGCGTTCTCATCGTAGTTGTACGGCCCTTGTCAACGCAGACATACCACCTTCAGGAACGGAACCATGTCCTTTCCCGCCCAACCCTCGGTTCTCCAGTCGTCAAAGTCAATCACCTGGGGCCGCGAATAGACCATGAAGTTCACCGCACTCCCACCTCCAAGGCAGCCGCCCGCGGGAATGACCAACTCCCTTCCGGCCAGCGAGTCACTGCGCTTGGAGGTGTAGAACGCCGCAGTTTTGGAGCCTGGCAAAATGTTCGAAAGATACATGGCTGGGTTCACAATGGCCGGGTCATCACGGACGCTGATACCCGACTCCAGCACAGCGATGGAGAGGCCAGGGTTAGCTTTCGCGAGTCGAGTGGCCACTACCAGGCCATTGGTACCCCCTTACGATCGTCAGTGTTGGTATAGTATGCGAAGCACTGCTGGGACTCAATGATGAGGGACGACGAAAACGTACCTCCCGCGACGACAATGTCCGCTGTTGCCGGGATAGGGTTCTCCATATTCCGATCGCAATTTAGGTAACTTGTTCAGAACAGATAAAGCTCTTGTCGGAGCGCGAGGGAAGCCATGGGAAGCAGATGGGCATTGCGCAGCCCTTGCTACTTATACTGCAATAATGCGGCAGGTGTCTAGGGATCCCAAACGATCTGACAGCGACAGAGTCAGGTCGAGTCAGTTTCCTCTGTTCTTATATGAGAAGAATTTGCCAGGATACACCTGATTCCACCACACACACTCAGCTTGCGTAAGATTGGAAAAATCGACAAACCAGCTGGGGAATACCCTACCTGAGGAGTCATTCCCCATGAAACACTGGCTCCAGCTTCCAATGGGGCTCTATAGTGCTAGTAAAGGGGCAGAATTAATCAATGCCACCACTGGAAAGTTGCTGGCATACATCTTCATGGCCCCAGCCCATAAAACGAGGGCTTCTCCTGATCTTCCGAACATGATATGTGTACAATTGAGGGTTCAGTAAAGACTGTTTCGTCGCACCCTCCCCTCCAAAACGAACTTAGTCCATTCCCATAACCATGCCGAAAAGGTATTGATCGGCTCCAAACATGGAGAAATACACATTTCGCTCGCTATGCCGTTGGCGGAGATGTACCCGGCCCAAGAAAATAGAGAAAAACTCGGTCTGGAATGCTTGAAACGGCTTAGCTGATGTGAGCCAGATTACGGGATCAAAATGTTGCAGCTCGTGTCAGTCCTTCTGCCTCGTGCCTGTCCTCCACGGAGATACAACTCAGCTCTGGGGGAATGGCTGCGTCGGAGTAACAATTATTACCGTTGTAAGCACACCCCAAGTCCGAAAATTGACTAGTTGATCCGGAGGGCCGAGTTGACAACTTTTGGGAAAGTGATGATATATCCAGAATGGGGTAGCGTATTAGATATCATACATACGGCGAATCCCCTTCCCCGCGGTTTGAGTGGACGCCGCCGTTCGCTTCTCCATGGAGGGAAACCCGTTGGATAATTAGAACTTCATGAAGCTCTCTATAAGGTTGCTCGGTCGAAAAGGCACAGAATAAGTAATTGATGGCGAGGTCATCCCTTCCCCTTTGTCTGGGTTTGTATGTGTGCACTGTTCGACTGCATTGGATTCGAAGGCAATTCTTCTAGAATGTGCACTATATAATGAGTGCAAGATTTCTCAATATCTGCACCGGTGGCATTATCGAATTCGAAGTCGCCTTTCTAAGCACTTTGAACTGTTAGACGAACGGCTTGTAGTCTCCAGGTCGAAGACCATTCATCGGTTCGAAACACCCCGGGATGCCTCTGGCCCTCGACAAGTATAAGGCGGCTGTGGTACGTTACCAGCCCCGCGTAAGAAACTTGCACGAGTTTTCTAACTTGCCTAGGTGGTCGATGAGCCGGGCGTTTGTTCCACTACATCAGAGGAGTAATCTCGCAAGCTGACCAAAGTGAAGTGGTTCGACCTGGACCTGAGTGTCCAGAAGACTATCCACTGGATCGAAGAAGCCGGAAAGGCTGGGTGCAAATTGGTCGCTTTTCCTGAAACCTGTATGCTTCGAGTAAAAGTCACGTAACAAACACACTAATGTGCACTCAGGGATCCCGGGTTACCCATATTGGCTCTGGAAGGTCAGTCTGTCAATGCCAATCACACAGAATACGTGGACCTCACCATGGCCAGGTGAACTACTTGGAATCACTGCCTTTGATCAAGGCATACCGCGAGAACAGTCTGAAAGTGGACTCCGACTTGATAAGAAGTATCAGGCAGGCGGCGAAAGACAATCACATGTTAAGTACCCTCTCCCAGCAACCGAGGCGCAGAAGTTAACGGAGAGGTCAGCTACGTGTCCCTTGGATTCTCTGAAATCGATCTGGCCACTTGTTTTCTTGCGCAAGTTCTGATCGCTCCAAATGGAGATGTTCTCAACCACCGCCGCAAAATCAAGCCCACCCACGTCGAAAAGCTGGTCTTTGGCGATGGAGCTGGAGACACCTTTATGTCGGTCTCAGAGACGGACATCGGCCGTCTCGGACAGCTAAACTGCTGGGAAAACTTCAATCCATTCTTCAAGTCCTTGAATGCTGCCTGCGGCGAGCAAATCCACGTTGCCGCGTGGCCACTTGGCCCTGGAGAATGCAGTAGGAAGGACCCTGATCCGAAGACAAACACGGCAGATGCGTGGGCAGACCAGATCACTCCGGCATACGCCATGGAGACTTGCACTTGGACCTTGGCGCCGTTCCAAATCATCAGCAAAGAAGGCGCGCAGAAGAATACGCCTCCTGGTGTTGAGGTCGAAGCGAATGTTGATCATTACAACGGATTCTCCCGCATTTATGCGCCTGACGGGACCTGCGTGGCCAAAGCAGACAAAGACTTCAAGGGCCTACTGATTGCAGATGTAAGTACTTCATATGTGTCTTACCCGTCTCTCGTTCATGTGATGGTGACAATCTCCCCTTCTCAGATCGACCTGAACGAGACGCACTTGCCTAAAGCCATCAACGATTTCGGGGGTGCATACATGCGATCTGATCTTATACGGCTGCTGGTCGACACGCGACGGAAAGAGCTTGTCACGGAGACAGGACCAGATGGAAGTATCCTCGCCTACTCCACGCGTGAGAGGCTGGGGTTGCATTTACCTCTAGCTTCGTCGAAATCCAAGAGCGAGGATGCTGGCCTGGTTCATGCGTCGAAGGGGTGATCGGTGTCAGTTGCTCCACCTTCAGGATTCAAGATGGTGAATTTGAGATTATTAGTGGCGTCTCAAATGAGATGGCAGGCTTTACCTCCAGTCGCAAATAATGAGAAATCGCCTTGTATTCTCGAGCCAGTCCACAGGATCTTCCGTGAGCCAAAGAATCAATTCCGCCGTGCAGTGATTGTGGGATGTAGAGGAGAGGTCTCGGGAAACCTGCCCACACGAGTCGTCGCTCCCCTTGGTGTTCTTCGCCTCAGCCTCGCCGGTCTCTCCCCCGATGGAGCCAATAACGAGGGCCACCGACGTAAGGTGCTTCACGACCCAGAGAGATGGTTTCTGGCCTCTCAGTTGCAGTCCGATTGATCTCGCCAATACCGTAAGCAAATGTCTACCTACTGCAATGCTCCGAAACTTTTCGCTGGAGATCACCAGTGGCTGGATCATCTCATGTTTACGCGCCCGGATTCTTGTCACTGTGAGTGCGCCTTGGGCAGCGTAACCCGACCTACGATTGCCTCAATGGATCCCCCTACTGGAAAGTTTTGGACAGTTATACATGGGCTCACGGGCGCAGCTTGCTGTATTCAACGGGTCCTGTTGACTTGGGCTCCGTCACATGTTTCATGCACGTCTCGCAGCCCTACGCGGGAAGGCCGGCGGCTACTGGTCAACACTTGACAGCCGAGAACCCCCGGGCCAGGTCGCATTGAGGCTGAGATGGGATTGCATGAAGAACGGGCGCCCGCCCTTTTCTGGACTGGACAAGATAAACTGGAAAACTCAATCGATTCCGGCTTTGCTAGTCAACGGTCGACTCGGGGAATTGTATAAGGCACAAGCTTTTCTCTTGTCATTGCGAACAGAAGACGTGTCCGAAGTATATGAAGGAAGATGCACATCTTCAACATCGTCCTTTTGGTCGAGACAGTGTTCATTTGTCAAGTTCTTGGTAGCGAGAACCCGACCTCACTTCACGGCCTGCCAGATGGCGACCAAAACGACGCATGTTCCGTGTGGGCTAGCAATTGCTCGCCGCCGGAGTAAGTGCTCTCGCACGAAGCCGTACGACTTTGCTGACACGTCTGGAGGCCACAGGACACGTTAAATAGTCATCCCGCTCACGACCGTGTGAAAGCACTAACAATGACACCCGCCGGTCCACACATCAGGGCCACGTCCAGTCAAGATACGACATCCCAAAACATAACCATAACTACTAGAAGTGACGGTATACCTGATGAATGGGATGTCACCGGGACAGCCATTCAATGTTACGCGCTGCCAATGGGAGGATTGGGTATCCTGTCCGATGTGCTGACAATCTATACCGTTGTCATCCTCAATCTAGGGTATAGCCCATGGTTCCCGAAGAGAAGGCTCAAGGGCGGACTGCTCGACCTCGGCCTAGCCGCAGCCAGCGTGCTCGGAACCTGCGTGACCGCGATCATCACCACCATCCGATGCCGAAGCCAATGGGAAATCATCGCCGTCGTACTCTGGAGAATGATTCTTTCTCTCAGCCTCGGCGGCTTTACCGCGCACACAGCCTGGGTGAAGAGGGCCTTGGAGCGACAGCAGCTGGGCGAAGATCATGCCAGCACCAATGCCAGCCTTTCGGACTCAAAATCAACCTCCTACGTGGGAAGGTGGCTGCTTCTTTATAGCATTGGACTAGCCCTTGGAGTGATAGGTTTATGTTCCCTCGCCTTCTCGGAACCTGTTGGTCTTACCGGCCTTGGGGTGGGATTACTTATTTCTCCCCCTGCCACCATTCTAGGGACTTTCACCATCATGGGACTTTCATCACGGATGATGCGTGTCATTTCAGCCGCGTTCGGGGGTGGCAGCTACCGCTCCAGCGAGAAATTGGTCGTTGTGGATCGCTACGTCGGTATCGCGATGGCGATCATCCTCTTCAAAAAGGACAAATGGGCCTCGAACCGGGACTGGTGGCCGTGGGTACCGGTGCTCATGATGTTTGCTGCATGGTATGGAGTTTCGGCGGCGATCTTCAGCAACGTCATCATCGGGCGCCTCGCTGGTAATATGAGCGGGGTTCCAAGCCGCGATCGTAAGGATACGCACTTCCAACCTCTGTGGGATCTCATCACTGACGCCAGGTGTCTAGAGGCTGCGATTTACTGGGCATATTTTGTGTGCAAGCGACTCACAATCTTCTCAGTCTAAAGCCTCGATCTCGACACGATTCACGCTGCAGATCAAATGGCGGCAAGGTGGGTTACTCAGGTTTCGGAGCTCAGATGGACTTTGGAGAGTATCCACCGGCGAGAAAGCGTATAGTCTTGGCACCTGTTTGGGACTGTGACCTACCGCTCTCATAACTCAGGTACTATATAACCTGCCATTTTACGGTTTGATCCTAGTGGGTGAGCGAAGGCCGCTTTAACCTAAGCTTCCTTCAACTGAGCATTTGGCCGAGTATCACTAAGCGCTCCTGGGCCTAATCTGGCTCCTTGCGACCAGCTCTGCTTGTACTTGTCTCTCTGCCAGGCATCTATTTCAGACGGGGCGTCAGGGAGCCTGGCAGGTTGCCTGCCCTTGCGCTGCCGCGTGAATTTCCTTTTCCCCTTGGGCCCGGCGGTGCGACAGGGTGCCTGTTTGAATCGACCAAGAGCAAGGAATCGGATCGAGCAAAATGGTGGCCCGGGCATTGAGACGTCTCAGACAGCTGGCGGCCACAAACCATAGTGCGGTGTCTCATTGCCCATCGTGGCGCCGCCTAACATTTGGATTGGCCATCCAGCCGCCGAACTAATGTAGACAGATGTTGTCAAAGAGTTGGTTGGGAGAAGTCCATGATTATGCACCAACTCTAATCATAACCAAACTAAAGTTCCTTCTGACAGAGATCTAGGCAAAGAACAAGGCTGAAGTAAGCACCCGTGAAGACACACGAAAAGGACCGACTTCAAATCTACGATGCACCATCTTCGATACCATAAGGTGCAAAAATAGAGAGAGAGGCTAACAGGTCGACAATCGACTTAGGGTCGCATGCGGCCTCCCATGTGACAGAGCCACCATAAAGGTATTGAGAGCACACCTATTCGGTGGTGTACGCTACAAATCTGGCTTGGAAAAAAAAAGCTGCTGGCCTTGTAAGATGCTCAGACAGGTCAATTCAGACCTCTAAGCGCTGACCGTTTGCTGGCGAGACGCCACGCGCTTCAACAGACGTGCAGAACAGAAGCGATTCCAAGGAGGCAGGGGTTCCCATCACCGAACCCCGTGGTGTGGCTAAGTCGTCCCCGAGCCTGCAACTCTTTCGTGGATGAATATAAGAGGTTCACATGCGCCCAGCCCGGACTTCGGAAAGTGCGTATGTGTGTGTTTGAGAGCATAAAATCGGACACCTTTACGCTTCTCATGGACTCAATACCCTCTGAAATCGTCTTAAACCGCATAACACCTTGCAGAGAGATGGCCTCGAACCGTCCTGAGTCACGGCAGACTCTGTCCCAGCAGGGGCGGCAGCCACAAGTTGCGCTCGGGCAATTGTACGACGCCCGCTCTGAAACGGTCCTCTTGCCCTCAGTCTTCAATTCCACCCCCCTTCCACCCGAACCCATCCAATCCACAGACCTGAAGGGTCTGTCATACAAGTGCACCGAGAGTGACTCTCTTGAAGAGAAGCTTTCCAATCTCGGCATCTCAGTCGAGCTGGGACTCAGCGTCCTATATGGAATAACAGAAGGCAGTTGCAGGACGGGGAAAAACTGGAGGAGCGACATTTGACCGCCAACTGACGCGCCATTGAATATTCACACCATACTTCTCAGGTGTTCTATTCGAGGATGGAGAAAGATTGCACGACTATTTACAAGGGTACAGTACAGCTTTACGAACTGAAGCTTCGAAAACCCGGCCTCCTTGCGAAGCACGATGCAATCTCTCGCCCTTTTTGTGAGATTGAGTCCTTTATCCCGTCTAGTGAACAGTACCGATGCCCACAGAATTGTCATTTCGAGATATGCAAAGGCCGAAGCTCGGGCGATAACCTGTGGGGGCCGGTCATCCATCTTGTCTTTCTTCTTGTCAATAGTGCGATTCCACAGGCGAAACTTCAACCTGGACCGCGTCTGGCTTCTCTGCTCCTATAATATTCCTCAAGCCTCTTCTTTTGGCCTCTTCGGTTTCCACACAGACATACGTCTGGAAGTCCTTGGTGAGGACTTTATTCCTAAACATTTCATCAATCTCCTCCAATGTTCTGCCTCTGATCTCTGGCAGCATGAAATAGATAAAGGTGCACACAACGACGCCGCTGCCAAACCAAATGTATCCATACTTGGGACCCCAGTTCAAGGCGGTCGGATTTATGTAGTAAGGTGTCGTGAAGGCACACAGCCATGCAAAGGCAAAGCTAACCGCGGCGGAAAGACCCATGGTGTATGCGCGCAAGTTCTGTGCGGGGAGCTCCCCAGCGATAAGGTAGACGTACGGCTCCAGACCGAAATTGAAGGCGAAAACGTAGACGCTGACAATGACCACGAGTGCTTTGCCTGCACCGGACTGAGAGACTGCCGGGGCCGAGTAGACGGCGGCCATAATGAGCATGCAAAGTGTGCAAAGAATGGCGCCTGTAAGGACGATGGCACGTCGCCCGATGTGGGTGACAACGAACCAGGTGAGGAAGAGTCCGGCCAGACCCACGCAGTTCGTGATGATTATCCATTTGAATGGATCGCCTACTTCTGCCTGAACACGCTGTCAGTGACGCGGAGGAATCTTCACGCTTGCGACTCACAATCTTGAAGAAGTAAGTGCCGAAAGCCAGAATAAACATAGCTCCAACACCCGCGTTGGCCGTTCCAACGCCGACACAGATGATCGTTCTTCGCAGGTTGTGATGGCGGAAGAGCTCGAAAATGAGGCGCCAGTCTTTCTGGGTTTCGGCCTCTCGGTCTGCAATCTCCTTCATCGCCTCGAACTCCTGGTTCAAGGCCAACTCATCGAAAGCCCCTGCGCGGAAAAATCGTAAGCTGCGCAGCGCCTCGTCTGGTCGGTGATGGTGAAGGAGCCAACGGGGGGACTCTGGCAGAAGAGGGAGCGTGCAGATGAGGATCACTGGAGGTACAAAACACGCATAGAGTGGAATTTGGTAAGCCTTCCGGCTCAGCATTTCGGCGTTGGAGTTGTTAATGACCTGAAATCAACCATTTAGCAAATTATCTTCCAATTCTTTCAGGGCGAGAATCATACGAACCATTCCGATAGTAGTTCCGATGGCGATCCAGCTCGTCACAACGCCGAAACAGACGCCGCGGAGGTGGGCCGGGGCGCATTCTTGAAGGTACACCATGGAAAAATTGAGCAAAAAGCCATTGGCGACACCTATCAGAAAGCGAGCGAAGTAGAGTGCGCCGAGCGAGGTCGTAACAATCATAATGACAATGCACACAATCATGAGCAGACAACCCAGCATCAGCGAGTAGCGGCGGCAGAGATGGGCACCGATGGGACCAGTAAGTAGGGACCCAATAAACGCCCCCAGGATCATGAATGAAGAGATGATTTGTTGAGGCCCGGTCTGGACATTTGTAAGAGAGGAAAGGGAGGAAGACGGAGTAGTCATACATGGATACCCCACGTTCCTGCTGGTGTCTGGTACCCAAAGACCTGGAGGAATCCCGGCATTGCCTGGAAGCCTGCAATGGCGCCTTTGTCAAACCCATACTCAAAGAGTGAGATGCCCATGTACAATGTGACGGCTATGATACGCCAGTTGGCTCGAATACTGTGGTCGCGGACACCCTCTCTCGTGGCCTGTTGCTCAACACTGTCCTGAACATCGATCACCGACGCTGGAGGCATGGCGGGAACGTAATGTCTGATGATGCTTGAGTTTCCCAAAAAGATTCGAGGGGCAGCCTGCTTTGCATTGTCTGAGAACCATGGCGATGTACTTCTTTATGTAGCGCCACCCCAGAATCTGGGGAAGTGGGTCAAAAAACCTCCACGGGGCAACAAGCGGGGAGGGTGGAAATTTTCTCCTTGCTCTGATCGGATTCACCACGCCGAAGACAGACCTCGTGGCCCGAGATAGCCGAGGGATTTGATTGGATTTCGGAGACAGCGAAGCGATAAAGGGCGTTCGTTTCACTTGTTCGGCGGATGCAATCCTTTAGACCAAAAATCGAGCCAAAAATCATCGGCGTCGAGTCGTTGTCCTGGCAGCAATATTCCGATGCCGCATTTGATGGATCAAGATATGGTAAGGTTCTTCCATATGCACGGCGTCGCGCGTTGATTATCGAGCGATTGGAGCACGTTCTGCATCCTCCCGAAAGTCTCGTTGGACCACTTCATCATGACAGCCCAGCAATCGTTTACGCTGGCCCTGGACGAAAAACAAAATGACATGGCTAACGAGGTTTTGGATACTTGGAAAAGGACCGCGGAACGAACGCCAACTCTCGACATTCTTCCTCCTTCTTTAGACCGGCCAACATGGCTGTCCGTACTCGCCGAGTTCAGGACAATCCTTGGTGATGATGGGGTACTAGTGGGCCATGAGCAACGCGTCCGCTACGTTGATCCATACGCACAAGAGCATGATGAGCAGGAGAAGCGAGGGAGTTCGGCATCTCTGCTTCCTGTAACGGTTGAAGAAATCCGGGCTATCCTGAGACTCTGCAACAAACATCGAATTCCACTATGGACGGTCTCCAGAGGAAAGAATCTGGGTTACGGCGGTCCTGCCGCCAGAGTCAAAGTAAGCCATTTCTATCCGCAGAGAACCAAGAAGCAGGTCTAATAGAACAATACAGGGCTCGGTAATACTCGATCTCCAGCGGATGCGGAAAATCATCGAGATCAACGACAAATACTCGTACTACACTGTTGAGCCGGGAGTGACCTTTTTCGATATCTATAGGGCCATCCAAGAGCAGAAGAAAAACATTTGGTGTTCCGTCCCCGCCTTGGGCTGGGGCTCGATTGTTGGCAACGCTTTGGACAGAGGGTGGGGATATACTCCCGCAGGTGAAGCAAACCCTCAATGGCTCGTAGTTGAAGGGCTACTTACAAATACCAGGCGACCACTCGAACCAAATTTGTGGAATCGAGGTTCTTCTTGCAGACGGAACGCTCGTCCGAACAGGGGCGGGAGCGTTGAATGATTCGCCTTGCTGGGCTCTTTTCCGTGGCGGCTACGGGCCTACGTA